TTCCCCTCACAAGAGATCAAATTGCAAATGACGTGGATTCAGTTACGTTTAATAAAGAGAAAGTTGACGTAGCCTACTGGGAGATAAGTTAATGTTTCATCCACTTCTTCCCCTTTTTATTGCATCCTTATGACCTCTGTGTTCCTACCTCCATTGCAGCTTTGCCATCAACATCGGTCATGACTCCGAAAACATCGCAATGCACTTCAACCCCCGTTTCGACTGCGGCGGTGATGTCAACACCATCGTCTTCAATTCCTTGTCCGGGGGGTGCTGGGGTGACGAGCACCGTGAGAATAACTTTCCCTTCCTGCGTGGGGAGGAATGCAAGGTGTGTTGGGAGAGTGTGAGGGTGTTATCTCTAATAATTCTGTTTAGTCTGATCTCAAACAGCAGAACTACTGCATCTCAGTGGGGACACTTTAATAAACATACAGTGCACTCATAAGCCTTAAAAGGACAAAACAAAACAAAAAATAATTCCAGAAACCATGACCCAATTACTTGAAATAATCCAGAAACCTTATTGTGAGCAGTTTCAAGTGGGAACTATTTTCTTTCTGCCACATTACACATGTCAACCGTATCACCATGCAGAAGGAGGTGTGCATCTACTCTTGGACAAGAGGCTTGTGCTTGTGACAGCGCAAGATGTAGCCTTAACATTAACGATGTCCTTTTCAACTGTAACGTTAGCCACATCAGTGGTGCTATGTGAGGTAGAGTAGATGTTTCCTTCTGTGCAGTGATACGGTTGGCAGGTGTAGTTAGCTTCAAAGAAAATAGTTCCCACATCAAACAAGGAAAATATGCAGTTTTGATTTTTGGGTGAACGGTCCCTTTAAATTTAAGGTAAGACTACATAGCCTTTGCCGCAAGTAAAGACTAACACTAATATTAGCTAACATTGGTCACCATAAGCTAGCTGCTGACACTCCTGACCAATAAAGGTATAATGAATTGATTCAGGGTGTGTTTATTGCTTCTATTTCACCTTTTTTTTACCTTTCACCTGAATCCTAAAACCTAGACATGAGTTAGCATTTTAGCACTCCCAGCTCCCTCGTCTGGAAATCAGTGGGTTTTTGAATAAGGTCTGTGGTTAACACAAGGTTAGAAGATTTTTTACGCTCTGTTCTACAACATAAAATGCGTCAGTAAATACCCCACTTGTGAATTTTTAAGCCTTTACGCATCTTAAAGAAGGCAATTGCTAACTAGTGGCTAAATGAGCCTACAGGACATCATCATGGCTTTACAGCCTAGTTGTAGTGGCAAACATTCAATTTTTTAATTCTAGAAAAATCCCATTGGCCTTTTGGCGAGGAACCTCGGGCAACGCTAACTACCGGGTTAGCCTACAAAGTCCCCTCACCACTCTGTATGTCAGAGGAAGAACAAGTTATTTCTTCTCTTACATACATATTCACACTTGAAGTCAGTTTGCTTTTCCCTACAAATGCAAAACTTTTACACGCTTACAATGTCTCGATATTCAAAATAAACAAAACCAAAAAATCTGACAACAAAAACGGTACTGCCTAAAATTGTGCTACAGAGTTTCCGTGCATTAATAAATGTAACCTTACATACCTGTAATGATTTGACATCACACTCTGCAGCGGCTAAAATGGCAAGAAGTTGCATTCTTATGATTTTATCATTGTTTAGAAAACAAAGGCTCAAAGCTGCTTTTCGGTGGAATTTTTGGCTCACACACAAACCTGCTGTATTCGAAAGAAAATATTTTTGCAGACCACCTTATGCTGTATTTATTGTACTCACTTGGCTAAAGCTCAACTTCCATGATGTCTTTCGCCATATGGAGGTTATTCAGCGGGCTTGGTACCTGTGCTGTACACTGTAAAGTCAACAGATGTTGAGCTATCCAACCATCAGGGGGGTTTATAGGCTCATAAAACGTAATAGCCCCTGAGAGAGAGATAGGCTTACCTGTCTGTATCAGCCATTCTTTTTACACGCATGTCCTCTTATCTTTTGGTTGTTGAATGAATCATGTGTTCTCTCTCTGTCCTTCGTTTCCCAGTTTTACATCAACTTCAACAGTGAGCAGTTTTACATCAAGCTTCCTGATGGCTGCATGGTGAACTTCCCCAACCGCCTGGGAGACGTCAAGTACAAGTACTTTGATGTCAGCGGTGACGCAAGGATCGTCGGCATCAAGATCAAGTAAAGGTTGAACTCTCTCAACCCTTGACTCTTGACGTGTCCACTTTTTGTTCGTTGCTGAAATAGTCTGTTTTACATTACTGAGCTCTTTGTCTTTTCTCATGTTAAGGCTTAAGGAAAAATAACACCAGAGATTTATACCAACAGGGAGTGCTGATGTTGTAGTAAGAGGAAATGGCCTACAGAGGGAGCCACAGCACACCTTACTGCTCTGTGTCTGCTTGAGCTCTTGTTAGTCACTGGGTTCGTCAATAAATGCTGTGAAAAAAAAACTGTCTCTCTCTCTCTCTTCATCTCACACTCTCTGACACACTGATACAACACACTATAATCTCCAGTGATGAGTCTTAACTGACATTTGATTTGTGTTTAACTCTATAAAAGCACACTTTAAATCTAAAACAAAGGTACTATTTACACTTGTATCTTCATCAGTTAATATATGAGACACCCTAGGTGAATAGAGTAAAACTTTAAAGTAATAGATCCAGAACTTATGTTCAAATATGCAAATGAGGCATTATCTAATTTGCAGACATTTTTCTGAACATAAATCTGCACACTGGTTAAGGCCTGGTTAAAAATTGACACATTGGAGTCAAATGATTTTACAGAGGAAATTTTGGATGTCTCTTTTTAGCACTCCTTAAATCAGAAAATACTGTCAATAGCCATAAAAAAATCAAAGAAAAATCAATTTTCACCATGTTTTTAGGAGTAAAATGTTCTATATATCAAATGATGTAAGAAGAAACCCTCTTTACAAACCTTCAGAATATAGACAGGAATAAAAGTGGAAAGTTTTGTGTATGTGTGTTCTACTGAAGTGGAGATTTCTGGCTCAGAATGTTAAAAAAAATCTTGGAGAAAGGGGCCTTTCCTTAAAATTTTTGACAAAAAAATAACATGCCAGTGAATAGGGTTAAAAAAAAAAACTAAACAAAAAGTGAAACTTTTGCAGTTTATAACTTACATTGACACAATTATGTTTGAAATGAAATGTTTAAATATACAAATGATGCATTATGAATTAAATATGAACTGATTTGCATACATCTCCAGAGCAGAGATTTGAACTAAAATAAACACCTTATGTGTACTTAGGACATTTTCTTTTCACAAGTCTGAAAGAGGACATGTTATGGAAGCAACATAGCCCAAAATCTCAAAATTGACCACGGTATAAAAAATGTTTTACCCTGCATGGAGTGTTTTTCCACTTGAAGATTTGTTTTCAGTCTAACAAACCTTCTTCAAAAAATCAAGGGCACTTTTCGTGGAGCTGTTCAGAGAGGACAGTGAAGTTTTACATTACATTTTTACTTAAAATGTTGCTTCAATGCGAGCAAAACACAAAGTAATGAAACCACTGACGCTTTGAAAGCATCTGAAAAGAGATGTAAACATACCTTTAATGGAATTAAGACTTAAAACCAGACAAGACTCACTGCAGCTGCATGACAACTTAATAAATGTAAAATCTGGATGTCAGTGGCACTGCTGACTTTTAACTGCAGGTCTCTTTAGAAGGGCAACTTGTAAAATCTGGTATAAGACATAGAAAAGAAAAGGCAGAAAATAGAGAAATACTGGAACTGAGCTGAAATAAGAATTGATCATTGAGGCTTGAAGTGTGAATATAATCAATATAGTGGCTGAACTGTATAATAGAGGATAAAACAGAATAACTCAAAGGGAGAGACCATATATGACAGAGGTGAGACAATTTGCAGGGGGACTCAAAGAAGCCGTGGCCCGAGGCTGAGGAATGTGGCACGATAAAACCACATTCCCTAGAGGGAGATGAAATATCCTTTACTATGTGTGTGTAAGGTGGACAGCAAATACAGGAGTGAAGGAAAAATTGAAGCCATTCTTTACATTAAATTTAATTTCCTGACTATTAGAATTTTCACAGCAATTGCAAAGTAATTAAGTTCTACAATAAATTCTCATCATTGGTGTTTCTTCCAAAATATTTTCATCACTACTAGGGGGACAAAAATCATTGCTGATATAAACCTTTTTAATTTGGAAAATAACTCACATTTGAACCCAAATATCAGCAGTTTAAATATCCTATCAAATGCATATTTGTCACAATGATACTGATGGAGGGCAGAATTGGAGATTGTTAGACAGTCATCTGTACTGTGCACATGGGGAAAATGTTAGGTTACATAGTAAAGAGCACATATCAAATACTGTGTCATTTGTGCTGATTGTCCTCTAGCCAGGAGGCTTGCAGTCAGACTTTCGTGCTCGCAAACATCCATCTGCTTTTCAAATTTCTCTGAATCCTTAATGGTTCAGTGTGTAAGACTCTGGGTAAGATTTAGATTAGATGGCAATAAGCAGTGAGGACTGCAGACTGCAACCAACTGTAACTTCATCCAGTTAAAATTCCTTCAGTGGACATGGTTCAGGAGGTTTTTACTGGGAGACGAGTTACCTGCAAAGGTCTCTTCCTCTCCAAAAAAAAAAAAAAAAATAATAATCCACAAAAACAGTCACAGTAATCTAAACAACAATCTTTCCAACACTCCTATCACAAGGGGGCATTGAACTACGGTAGCTGGCACAAAAAACACAAATCGTTCTGTCTATAGTCATTGTTTGGTTTGTCCTACTGTAGAAACATGGTGGCGCAACACGGTGGGTTCCGTAGAAGAGGACCCGCTTCCTATGTAGATATAAACAGCTCATTCTAAGGTAATGAAAACAAAACAATTCTTATTTCAGTTGATGATACACTAAAGAAAACATACTTCTTATATTCAATGTCTACCAGTATATCCCCCTAACTCCTACACACTGAACCTTAAACTGCTCTGACTAAACTTCTCAACAGGGCAGGAAATGTGTTGCATCATATTGCATTATGTTTAAAGCATCTACAAAGTTTGCAGGAAGTGCTACATCTCATTTTCCATTTTTGTAAAAAAAAATGACCAGAAAAGAAAATGTCCTCCTCCAGGCTGATGAAAGTCAATAACATTTTCTTGCTCCACAGTCAATACGCAGTGATCATTTATTCATCCACTAAAGCTCTTGGAGTGGCGTAGTCACGGCTGACCCGGGGTCACCCCTGCTTGAACCCACAGATTGACCTTTCTGTGCCAAGTAGTCTTTATAGTTCCGGGTCAGCAGAGTGTAAAGGAATGGATTGATGCAGCTGTTCCCATAGGTCAGACATGTCACAAAGAAATTCACATAATTATGAGCAGCCGGAGACAAAGCCTTGAGGGACTCTGGGGAGAACAATTTGGCTAGCTGCCATCCCCAGAAAGGCAAGAAGCAAGCCCAGTACGCCACAACAATGCTAAAGATCATTGATACGACTTTTTGTTTGAGTCCTCTCCTCCGAGCAGAGCGGCTGCTACCTCCTAAGCTAGCCTGCACTGCCCAGTAGCGACTGGCGAGCCCCACATACAGCCCGACGATTATCAATCCAGGAACTAAGACGCTTGTAAGAAACAGGACGGTGATATAAGCCTTGAAGGCCTCAGGGGTCCAGGTAGGGAAGCAGATCCTCTTGACCAAACCAGCCGCAGTTGGTTTGCCCTCCCTGAGCCGGATCATCACCATCATGGGGAGCGTTAGCACGAAAGCCAACCCCCAGATAATCCCTGCCACTAACTTTCGTTTACGGGACGAGGACCTGTGCGCGCTAAAGGGCATAGCCACGGCACGGTAGCGCTCCAGGCTCATCGCAACCAAAATGAAGACACTGGCATGCATGGTGAGGAGGTCGAGACTCAACAGGATGCGACAGCCAGCCTCACCAAACAGCCAGTCATGGGCGAAGTAGGTGCAGACCACAAAGGGGATGGTGGAGAGGTAGAGCAGGTCAGCCAGAGCCAGATTGATGATGTAAACATACATGGAACCTGTGCGGCGCAAAGCGGCTGAACGGGTTATGATGAGCGTGTATGTGTTGCCCACCACACCCATGGCGCACATGATCATCAGTGTGGCACCCAGAAGGGATGTCACCCACATGCCCCCGCTGCTTCCACCACCACCACCACTCTCCTGGGATGCATCATCTCCAGCCCCTGGGCTCAGGACAAGTCCCAGCTGCGGATTGATGGTGGCATTGGGAGTGCAGTTCATTGCAGGTTCGCAGATCAAAGGTCAGAGGTCAGGCTCTAATGTTTAAGAGCCAATTTACACGCAGCTGTATGGTGGATGGCCTCTGCATGAAATAGGTTTTGAAGTTTGTATGAACTCATGCTGTGATGCCGAGCACAGATTGAAGTTGGCAGCTGATTGACGGAAACTTTGTCCCAGGTGAAAAGCAAACATTGCTTGCATTGAAGCTTAATCCAAGAAATGACGTAAATGGGCAGCAGATGAAAGAGCAGGGATGACGAGAACGACTGTATCAATCCACAGAGAAGATGTTAGTAGACCACTGACATGGCCAGCAGCTTCAGTGACTATGACGCTGCCTGTGACTTGCTTATCCCCAAAAATAGGGTCGTCCACAAAGCCATGATCCTATGTTTCTCCAAAATCAGTGCAAGTCAGGACACCGCCTTTCAACCTAACAAACTGTGTTGAAGATCTCCTGCAATGCCGGGTCGAGCAAAACTTGTTGCTGACATTTCCAGGGAGACTCCTTGTGGGGATTATTTCAGCTCCAATTTATGTAAAAAATCACTCTTTTTCATCCATGTGGTGACCACAGTCCAGTTTGGGTGAAAAAAACTGATCATCAATGGTACTATATCCAGTTACACTTTGTCTTGTCTGCTTTCTTCTAGATTTTTACCTCTGTATTGATGCATGGCAGATGAACCTCAGATCCATTTGACTCCCAGCTGTGACGGAAGACTGTTGTGTCTGTGTTCTTTGGGGTCTTCGTGGTCACAGTCCTCTCCCTGCTCTCCTCTCCACTGTCCTCCCTTTTTCTCACCTAGGTGAAAAACTAGCATGGGCCTATAGATTTATGAGGTATTCCTCATGGGCCTCCTGTCTCTGTGGCTTTAGACACCCAGAAATCACAGGTGGGGGCAATATGCACGTACAAAAAAGAGCGTGTTTATTCATTTAAGCTCATTTACCTTTTCAGTTTTGCTGAAATAAATAAGAACTTTTAAAAATGTATTCATATGTCTGCTCTCTCTGTAAATTATAGGAAGCACTGAAGTTTTTGCCAAGTTGTACTTAAATTTATATTGAAGTTGGTGTTGCTGGAAATATGAAATTACCAAATTCACAAATTGATTTATTTAGTTTTAATTTAATATATTCTTTTTCCTACAGTGCACTGAATGGGCTCAGGGTGGAACCTCATTTTGGAATAAGTCACCTTCAGTTCGTAGAGAGTGATAATAGACAGCAAGAAACTATTTATACAACTGAATTTTTGCACAAATCTGTACAAAGATTCCTTGACAACTTCCAGAGGAATTTTTTTTTATTGGTGATTGTCAGTATTTTCATGTGGTATGTCAGTCTGCCATGCACAAGCATAGAAATATATTTTAAAAATGACATCAAATTAATATGTAATGTGAGTACATTGTTAACCAAAAAACAGAAAATGAAAACAACAAAAATATACCAATAAAATGTATTAATTGTTTTTTTTATATCTGAAAAATGGTAGAAATAACTTATTATTGGTATTGCTTTTAATAAAGACTTAGTGTATGTACTGTACGCCACATGGAGGCACTGTTAGACCATGTAATGGCTTGGAGTGCTCTGAGCTTTTGTATCCCAATCCATTTGCAAATCCCCTTTATTGTCATTTGGTTACATCTTTGATAGAAGTACTTGCACATTTTAAAAACAGTTTTACAAAATCAACACTTGTCCTTAAAGCAAATAAATCATAAAAAAAGTCATGTAGTGTGAAGATATTGCTTTGGTTAAAAATAAACTCCCTTTCTGACCTTTTCTGACTGAAACAGCACAATACACTGAGCTGCACCGACTGCAATGCTCTATCTAAATCATGCAAGTCATGAGTAGTTACAAAGATTACATAAAACAACCAATAAATGACACTGCTTTAAAAAAAAGAAAGGGAGAGAGAAATCAAAAGGAATTCTGAATCCATCACAGACACAGTTGTTTTCTGTGCTGTTGATGGTCTGTACCTGACTGAGCAATCTGACTCCCTGTACCTTTTTAGAATAACCCAATTATCACACTTAAAGGTCTAGTGTGTAAGATTTAGGGGAATTTAGTGGCATCTAGTGGTGAGGATTGCAGACTGCAACCAGCTTAAACTTCTCCTGGTTAGAATTCCTTCAGTGTTTATTGTTCAGGAGTTTTCTACCAGGAGCCAAATTATCCACAGAGGTCTCTTCCTCTCCTCTATGAGTAAAACACCTTCTTCCTCTGATAACTTAAGATCCAAAGGTTCAGGAGGATTTCACCAGAAGTTATCTATACAAGTTTAGGCCAAAAAAAAAAAAAAAACTGGTAGGGAATGGTGCACGTCAAAAAATACGCCCCTGTTATGTTAAATGTATGACCCCCACTGGTGGCTGGATGCACGTCGGCACTTCTGGACGCAGCACTTGACGCCACTGTCATATTTCCAGCCTTGTCGCCCCTGGAATTAAATGCATTTTTCCCCCCACTCGCTCTCTGCTTGTACGGACCAACTTCTGTAGCCGCTCTTTTTCTCTGGTCCTATAGCAGCTCGACTCCTCCCCTCACCACTGATGTATAAAGAGAGCTCTGTGGCTGAGGTCACCTCGTTGAGGTCAGGAAATATTCCGAGTTAAACAAGATCGGCTCTTCAGGTGAGAAATCAAGTTTAATTAGGGGCTCTCCACACATGAGTTAAAGCTGATGCAAAGGTGGAGGAAGTACAGATCTTTCAGTACAAGTGTAATAACTTTGCATGGTTGTCTGTTGACGAGCTGCAGTGCAACACGTCCAGTCTGTGCTAAGGGTGGCACTTAACACGTCATATGTCACACCGTGCCACAGCAGCACCAGTGTGTTTTCAGCTTTATCCTCTCCGAAACAAACTGACCCACTGATTTAAACCGGTAAAACACTGAATAAAGCAGTTTTACATCTAAAAAAGTGTCCTATGTTCATTGTTGAGGAGTTGCTCATTATGGTTGCCAATGCAAAAACGTGAATGGCCCTATTTAGAGCCAGTGTTTGGTTTGTCCGCCCCAGGCTACTGTAAATACTTGGCAGTGTGATGAGGACCCACCTCCTATGCACATATAAATGGCTCATTCCACGATAACAAAAACAGTGATTCTTATTTTCAGGTGATTATACACTAATTAAAATATACTTATTAAAATATATTCCATTTCTGCCAATATATCCCCCTAAATCCAACACACTGGACCTTTAACATAAAATACGTGATACAAGAGGACAAGAGGACCAAGGCACCGGTCACATTAAATGCCATTTTCTTAAATCTCACATTAATTATTGAACAAACCTAGAAACTCATTATTTTACCATGATGAAAATAAAAATCAACATCTAGAACTGTGTTACATGAAGTCCGAAAAAGAAATATGTTATAGAACTGCACTGACTGGTTGACCAGTGCAGTGCAAAAACACCACAGCAAAACAAAATCAAAGACAATCTTATTGGTTATCAACAATTACTGTTTCTTTTAGCCAGATAACTTTTTTAATTTCCCACTGGATGTTGCATTGATCCTCTTGTTTGCATCTCTAACCCCACTGTAAAAGAACAGCATTGGGACTTGGAACAAGCTCCAGTCTGACCATGTTGGTACAATGGCACGCTCAGAGGCAGAGCTGAGTGAGTCCGGTGTCAGATTGGTGATGGGCTGGGAAGAGAGGAGGGGAGATGGTCCTACAGGCCGCTGGTCCATCAATGCCTGTGCTTGAACAAGGCTTCCACTTTAATACAAATCAAAGTTAGAAGTTAGGAAAAAGTGCTCTTTAACCCATGCAGACAAATCATTTCAATACATCAGAGCCCTGGTGTTCCATTCATGTGCAGTAATTTGCCCTTTTTAACATTCAATCTTGTGATTCTTACAGTGATAGTGAAGCACACTGCTTGATGCAAAATCAGAATGATCCATTAATGGACTCATTTTACAGTAGCATTCAGTTGGTCATTTTGCCATTTTGTTCCAGAGTGAAATATCTTGAAAGCTATCAGACAGATTGCCATGACATTTTGTACAGACATTCATGGTCCCTAGACAACTGACTCTCTCTGTAGCATATTATTGATTCGCAAAGAAATGTCTGAACAACTACTGGCACCCTGTAAGCCTCAGCTGTACTTTGTATTGAGTGATAATGAGAAAAAATTAGCATGCTAGCATGCTGGAGTTAGCATGGCAGCTACTACCATTTTTATTATGCATTTATTTCCCCACAACCAGTGGTGGAATGCATCTAATTAGATTTACTCAAGTACTGTACTTAAAGGGATAGTTTGGAGCTAGTGATGTGCAGTTTTATGAGGTACTTATCCACAGTCAGTGTAGTACGTACAGTAGTGATTGGCACGCCTCCAGTTTGGAGAAACAGGCTGGAGTACTGACATAGAAGCTAAGTAATGTAGTGCTCTGGACAGGGGCAGTACCAAAGCGTATTTAAGTCACCTAAAGAAAATATCGTTCCTAAAAAAATTAGTATCAGTTTCAGTGTACGCTATATTCAGAATAATTTCACCGCTTTACATTGACGCAGACAGCCTTTACTGACGGGGAGGCCATTAACAGTTTTAGTTCGCCATCTGTGCTTTCGTCAAAGCCACCAGACTCCATTGACAAAACAGTAATTTAAGCTTGCTGAACACAAGAGCTGCTGGTCTACCGCTATTTCAACCAGTTTGTTTTTTTGTGTTCTTGCAATGCAAGCGCGGTGCACAGAGGCAGTTAGAGCCACAGGCTACAATAGCCATGTTTCCATCAGCCTGTTTAGATGCACATCTAGAAGTATCGCATCGGAAAATTATGATGGAAACGCCAAAATTCGAATTACAATCCTCTGATTCGCATAAATTAAAATACGCTCGCTTTAGCCGGGTTTTGGTTGATTTGACAAAATGTTGATTCACAAAACAGGGGATGGAAACAGTTATGTTCGAATTAAGTCTGACATAGCGCACCTCTCTCCATGGTGATATCCACAGTCCGGGTCGGGATGGCGGTAATGCATTTACAAGCTGGTTGCCAGCCGCCAGAAAACGTAGAAGAAGAAGAATGCCAGACTTGTTTTGTTTCCGGTTCTGTGGAAAACTCTTGCGAGTTGGTAGTTTTCACCAAAGTCTGTACATTTAATGGAAACACACAGGATTCGTATTTCTTTTAATGCGCATTTCCCAATGACTCAAATCACTTTCGGATGGAAACATAGCTAATGAGGCTAAAAACAGAGTTCAAATGACGTTTTTCCAAACAACTTTTTATGTCGGGGCTTCAGGACACTTGGATCACTACGGACGAGCAGTATGGAGATATTTTGTGGTTTCAATTATGCGCTGTCAGCCTCCATTAGGTGGAGTTGTGTTGCTACCCCCTCTCCCCTTGGATCTCCGCAAGGGATGTGAGGACTCTAAAACTTCACCTGAGCCTCCCTTGGCATATGGGTGAGTAGATAATGGCTGAATTTTCATTTTTGGGTGCACTATCCCTTTAAGTCTCAAAATAGCACAAACTAACTGATCTCGGTGGCGGTAGATGAGCAGCTCCTGTGTCAAGCAATGTAAATTACTGTTTTTCTCAATGGAGTCTGGCTTTGAAGAGAGCGATTCAACGGCTTCATTTTCCCATTGGAAATTACTGTCTGACATTCAGGTAAAGCCGTGAAAATATTCTAAATATAGCATTCACTCAAACTGATATTGATTTTTTAGGCTGGACTTTTTAAGGTGGCTAAAATACGTTTTGTTGCCGACCTTTTCACAGCAGTAGATTCCATGTCAGACTCCAGCCTGCTTCTCCAAACCAGGGGCATGCCGACTGACATACGTAATATACTGTCTATGGATAAGTACCCCATACAACCCCACTTGACAATGAGGTGAGAACTATCCATCCCACAATCTGGATTTCTATGCACAAAGCATTACAGCCTCACAGAGCCACCACCTCAGTATAGTGCACTATATTTGACCTCTGTCATTTTATTTGAATGTAAATAATTATTTTTGTGTTGAGTGTTAATTCATTTGTGTGGCTTAGCATTTCTTCCATTGTGCCGCTGTGGAGCAGAGTAACTATTTGATGTGAAAGAACAGCAACAGTCACTTACAAAAGAAGTAATCAGCAGCTCATTATAAAGGCTTGTAGCTAATAAGTATTTAACGACAATGAAAAAGTTCTGAATTCTTACTTGTGTAGTCCTGAGGGGACATCGGAGCATTCATGACATCAGTGAAGTGTTTCAGCCAATCCTGCTGGTCGCTCTCCGACTCACAAGTAAACAGGAAGCTGCGATCAGGTGTGTCTATGGTGATACCGTGTTGCCAGGCGCCATTGCAGTAGGTGCCAGCAGGCAAGCCGGACGAGACACTGTAATGGTGCTCCTTGTTTCCCAAGAACACTTCACCCTTGGCAAAGGCATCCTTCAAACAGAGGGAGAATGAAAGAAACATCAGCTGAATACTGCTGAATTCAGGGTGCTTTGACAAAGAGAAACTTTAGGTTTGTGCTACTCTCAGCTCTCAAACAGCTGTTTTTAGCCATACTAACTGTGTGGCTCATGGGATGGCAGTGTCTGTCTGTTGGCCAGTCAATTGGTCAACCTTCAGACTGAAATATCCCCACAACTGCTGAGACTGATTCCTATGAAATTTGTTCAAACGGACTGCCGATCAGCACATTTGGTAAAACAGGTGCCCCATGTACATGTTGTTGTATGTTCTAAAAAATTCACTTAAAATTTGCGTTACATTTGAATGGAAACCTGACTATTGATGGTAACAATAGGATGAATCCTACTGACTGTGGTGATCCCCTGACTTCAGCTCTAGATATCAGATATTCATGACTTTAATGTACGATTATTTTATTTTATTAACAACAGTGATGCCCTTAAGGTTCAATTTGTAGGATTTAGTGGGATATAATGGCAGAAATTAATATTAGAATTATGTTTTCTTTAGTGTTAAATCACCTGAAAATAAGCATCATTGTGTTTTTGTTAAATTAGAATAAACCCTTTAGTTCCACACAGGGAGCGGGTCCTCGTTTATGGAGATCATCATGTTTATCGCCATGTTTCTACAGCAGCCCAGAATGGACAAACCAACCACTGTCTGAAGCCCATCTGCAACAAGCTGCGTTGGGATTACACAATGTAATGTTAAACTGTTTTATCAAGTGTTTTTACCAGTTAAAATCCACAGGTCCAATTGTTTTGGAAAGGAAGAGACCTCTGCGGATAATTTGGGTCTCAGAAAAACCTCCTGAACAATGAACACTGAAGGAAATCTAACTGGGAGAAGATTCAGCTGGTTGCAATTTGCAATCCTCACCACCAGATGCCACTAAATCCCCCTAAATCTTTCACACTTAACCTTTAACTTTTCATCAGTTGCTATCCTCAGGTCAAAATTTTAATATATCCAGTACTTCTTTTGATCACCAAATACCTACAAAACAAACATTCCCCTCAGCCTAAAATATACTTTGCATTTACTGCTATTTACCTAATACAGCATGCTAGCATCCTAAACTAAAATGGTGAGGACAGTAAATTTTATACCTGTCACATCAGCATGTTAGCATGTTGTCAACAGGCCTTTTAACACTGCCTGTTCAAGTGGGAATATTGCGCTGTTATGCCACCTTGCTGTTCTTTATATACGGTATGATCGCAGAATGGGGGGGCAGAGTCGTCTCACCTTTAAGCCACCTCAGGAGGTAAAAACAGCGCTGAAATGAGATCTCTATAAAAAGGATAGCAGGCAGGACAGGATCATTGACAGGACGGGTTTAGAACAAAACGTTTTAACAATGTGTTATGCATGTGACCCACCATGGGAAATTTAAAAAGCAGCTAACAGCAGTTAGCAGCTAACTCAAAGACAAGCAGTGGTCGAAAATGTCCACAAATTAGGAAAACAATGAGGTCCGGGGGTTTCTACAATCTGAGCAGATCACAAAGTGACTGTTATTGCCATGTTTCTGCCATTGTTATTATTTATAAAGTGCTGCCAACACATGTATTATTTGTCACAGTAGAGGCCACCACTGTCGTGTTAAACGTCATGCCCGTCACACCTCTTTTGGTTCTTTTGGATGCTCTTTAAAATCTCACACCAGAGCAAAGTGTAAAAATGCAAAGGCGGCATAAAGAAGGGGCTGAGTAGCAACCCATCAGCATGCTGACATTAGCATTTATGCTGTGCTAAGGACAGCATCACAGAGAGAAGCACTAATTGTCCTGTCTGAGTTTATTTGCCAAGCAGTTAGAACAGGCTAAGTTATCAACGTGCATTATGGTGCATTCTCAGTCAAAATCAATGTCAGGACTTTTTACTTGGGTATTGACATGCGTATACATACATATTTTTTGTCAGCCTCGCTTCACAGATGATGTGAAGAGCTCAAAGACACTTCAGCATTTACTGTACAAGCACCTGTTGCATGACACCCTTTAAAAAGATACAGTTGAGTTCTTTAACTTTCTTTGTTTTACTGAAAGGTGACACTACTTGTTCGTCTCAGATAAATCTCATTCTACAAATGTGAATCAACTGCACTCACACACACAGTGAACCATTGTATACACAACATCAAACATGCATAATTTAGTCACTATCCAAGTGGTCAAATTACACTTGCTTTGAGCTTCCTCCACAAATTCCCAGTCCACACTCTACTTCACTAGACTTCCTCTTCCTTTCATCTACCAATTGTTCTTGTCTAACACTCTCGAGGTTAGTCAGACATTTCGGTCACCTATAATTATTGCACCTCTCCATTGCGCTATTGCATCAGCAACAATGCTGAGCTAATTTGGCTTGGCTATCTGATGTGTATTTAGTCAAGTCTTGGGCAATCTGAGCCCCCCCCCCCCCGAGGCAAGTCTCTGTGATAACTACTGCGATAAAAGCTCTAATCATCAAATGACTGAATCTCACTTTCACAATGTCTCTACCTTACAGGATATAGCTACTCTGCAGGGTAGTTTTTCACTTCACTTTGAGGCAGTCCATACTGTGAGGCCATGGCAATGAATGCCACGTGTATAATAACATTACGTTTGAATGAAAGTACCTTATATCACTCCCCACTGACTCATAGCTTCATATCCCCAACATCGTCTACTTAATCTAATTTACTTTATGGAAAAAAAACCCTCCCGCTCCCCATGGTGTTCATTTATATCTTTTTAGAGCACAGGATTTCCATCAAGGCTGGACTGTATTTACTCAGGCATCAACTAAGACCTTAAAATAAAAACTGATGCCTAGAATAAAGTCTTCCCGATGTGTGTAGGTGTGTGTAAAGATGCCGTACCAGCGGATCTTTGAAATACATGAGTCGCCTCTGGTCCAGAGTGAACCAGCGTTTCTTGAAGCCTTCCGTTTGCTGCAAAGACAAAAAAAAAAAAAAGGTTGGCAGAGACATTCAGACATGAGGTGAGTAAGACAGAGACAGACTGAAAGAGACACAAAGCAGCTCTGTCCTTGCACCAATAGTGGTGTCTGTCTGGTGTCTAGATTAAATGTGATTCATGCTCATATGCTCTTAAACTGATTGTTCTGTACTAGGAATTCATGCATCAGAGTTTCCCGATACTTCATCTAAGACTGTCGACTGTTTAAGTGGATACCAAGCAGTCAATCAAGTTAACATAATTAACTAAATGGATTTCCACTCTAATCAACACTTATATAACAAACATGACAAATGTAGAATGTGAAAGAAAGAAAGAATCCACATTATATCTTTAGTTGCAAGAGTGCTGTCATTTTGCAGTATCATAACCCGTGACATCACAGGTTGGTTGCCTTTGATGATTTCAACAGACAGTGAAAGAAATAGATATAAAAGACTGAAAGAGTGAAAGATAGAGAGTGATGAGCCACAGGACAGAAGAGGACAAAGCGAGTTCACTACTGTATTGCTCCTGGGTGTAAAAATGAGTTTTATGGGGATAAATCCTGGACAAAACAGTCTATTTTTATGAACTGACGCTGCAATGATGTTGCACATCACCATTTAGCCCAGGGATGCTCAACTTGCAATCCGATATGGTACCAGGTGGCTCGCTGACTATTTTCTAACTCACAATGAATGGTGGTGCAGTGGTTGGATTGTTGCAAAACAGTAAGAGGGTTCCAGGTTCAAACCCCAGGGTGGGGAAGCCCTTCTGTGCGGAGTTCGCAATTTCTCTCTGTGTCAGTGTGGGTTTCCTCCAGGTGCTCCAGCTTCCTCCCACAGTCCAAAGACATACAGGTTAAATGGTAACACTAAATTGTCCGTAGGTGTGAATGTGAGTGTGAATGGTTGTCTGTCTCTATGTGTCAGCCCTGTGATAGTCTGGTGACCTGTCCAGGGTGAACCCTGCCTCTCCCTCAGTGTCAGCTGGGATAGGCTCCTGCGCCCCACGACCCCGAACAGGATAAGCGGTTATGGAAAATAAATGAATGAATGAACAATAAAAATAAACTGATATCATGCTGGGGATTTTTGGTGCTTTTAATGTACACTGAAGAAGATCCCCCTGTCCCCCCCCAGCAGGGTCCGGCCCATGCGCAGGCACCCAGGAAGTGCGATGGGCTTAAAGCAAATTTTCTGTCATGTGATGCCATGTGGCCCAAAACGACGTTTCCCATAGACTTACATCGCGAAAGAGACATCTGTGAATTAAGGTGCTCACAGACTCGGGCGTACTATAAGCGGAGCAGACTCCGCAAAGAATGTCCGCAGTCATTCGGGCTTCCATACTCGAGCGCACTTCCACATTGTAGTTTCCTGTAAAAACATCCGTGAAAATTCCCCGCGATGTGAAAAATACATGCCGAGCAGTCTTTTGTGACACTGGTGCACGGAACGGCGTCCGCGTGGTCGTAAAATCTGAGCTTTGTGAGCACAGGGCTTGCGGACTTCCGCTTTTAGTCCGGGCGGACCTCCGCAGAGTCCGCTACGCGTACGTTCCACCCGAGTATGTTTGGGCCTTTAGTGGATACAATTTTTTTTTTTTTAATGTCACAACCCTCGCAAAATGACTCGCTTCACTTTCAGAATTTGATCCAATTAGTCTGATGACATTTTGAAAGTCTAGAAGAGCCGTACGATTGAATCATTTTATTCCCACTCAAGTTAGCACAGCGCAAAACCGGAGGTTGGTGGGTTTGGCCAGTGGAAGTCTCTAGTGCGCCTGCTCTATGGGCCACACAGAGCGGAAGCAGTGCCAATCTCCACAGTCTCAACAGTTGAACTTTTTTAGCTTCACGTCACCAAGTAACTTTCATAGGAGTGATCGGAACCCCGTCTCCAATGCTTTCTTTTATTATATATATATGTTAAATAAATTAATGTCTGTTTGCCTTCTGTCATTTTGTAAAAGGCCTCCCAGACAAAGCAAATTCAAATTCAATTCAATTCAAGTATCCCAATTTTAGCCTATAACTTCTCAAAAAAGTAAAATCATTTCATTTCTAGCTGTTCGTCAGTGGAGACTAATTGTTCCAGCACTGAAAGTCAAAGTAAAAAAAGGGCATTTTTGTACCAGCAACAATTCTAAAACATTAAAAATTCATGGGAACTCAGAGAACTGCAGATGAGTGTGCGCTGCTGGTGTTTTATTTATGTTTTGCTTGACTGATCAAAATGTCTTTGCAGCCTAATTCAACCACTTTGTCAAGAATACTTCCCTTTTTATGAAATGGAAGTGTCACATTCTTTGGTAAATGTTCTTCGACCTTGAAGGTGCATTAAACCTGATCTCAGGTATTAAAGGCAGTGATATAAAAGCACTCCTTGTTTGATTTGAAATGATTTTTTCTGTTCTTAATACCAAAACTGGTTTTCTCCTTGGCAGCCCCATCTAAATGTTCAAAGAGCCACTGTCAGAACACTCTGATATATACTGAATTTGAAAAGTCAAACTTGTTGTCACGGTTGAAAGTTTACATCACTGCAGCAGATCCAAATCCACGCTCAAAGCAGCTATCGAAGAATATGAAGCAGAGAGTTTACTGAAGCGCACAAGCAGCCTAAGCTCTTTTCAGTGAGCCGAACTTCAGATAATGAGGACGCTCATGTCCCTGACTGCTGCCAAAATGTCCTCATAAAAGTGTTTGATTTTCTCATCGTGGCATAAGCCTAAACAACCGACTTTTCCCTTCTCAATTCGCCAGTGACTCCCTCCGCAAATATGTCTCACACGTGCGTGAGGGAAATGAATAATGGCATCCATTTAGCAAATCAGCCCAAAGCAGCAAGTTAGTGAGTCCTTTCATCACTCAGCCTGACAGACGGAGATTAAACTGAGAGTCTGTGTCTGGCTCAATACAGAACCGGTTGTGTTGCTGAGGATCGGATGCTTAGTGTTTCCTGCACAGGTGCTTGAGTCTGAATCCTGTGTGTGAAAGCACCTGCCTGTGTTAGCATATGCTAATATAAAAGTTTCAGTGTACTGTGCATTACTGCCTGAATATGTGCCAATATCTCTTTGTGTGTTTGCTTCATTCAGACATATGTTGGTGTTTGTGTGTGTATTTGAGAGTTTGACACTTCAGGATTATGTTGATCCTCAGCTGGAAGCCTTTTATTCCCTCTCCCACAGACTGACAGACGGACGGCGAGGCAGGCAGGTAGGTCCTCTCAGCTGTCAGTCAGCCTGTCAGGCAGCAGGGGAAAGCTGCTACACTGACAGCTGGGCTAGTTAACCTCTTAGTTCAGCTCCTATTCAATTAAAGCAGGGGGAGTGGGAGCTGGAATCACAGGAGAAGATTTGAGGAGGGAGCAGTGTCCAACTAGCTAGATTGAAATTTAGTCTAAAATTCAATTCAGGATCAAGCCTGGTTTAGACATTTAAAAAGTCTCAATTGTCTGTGTTAATGTGTAATCAAGACTACATTTTCCCTCACCCTACCGACTGAAGTACCCTCAAACCCTCAAATATACCCCAAAGTTTCATATCTCACAGATATCTCTTTATTCTATTGCAATTTTCCTTGACTGTCAATCAATTTGTTCATGATGACTTCATCTCATGATGGAGGGGATCATGTGTTTGCTTGTGTGTGTTTGTGTATCTGTCTGCACCTAATCTACCAAACTACTGGACCAATCAGCCTAATGTTTTGTGTGCACATTTATAACCGTATCCTCAAGGACCTCTTGTGGTTATTTCCATCAGTGACTGCTGACTTCTCATGCCTCTTAACCAGCCTGTAGGGGCTGCGAGTTTTCCATAAATAGGCCTTGGCTAAAAGCTACAAGCCTTATCTAGTCTGTTGCAGGCCACATTTTGGCCTTCACTGTGGCTCAAAAAATTGACATCCATAAATAAGTTTGGTCTTATTTTGAACAGGAGCATCTGCAGATTAATTCCAGATTTGTTATGATCCACTACAGTTAAGGGATAATGAGATAGATTGAGCCCCTTTTATAATAATAATAATACATTTTATTTGAAAGCGCCTTTCAGGACACCCAAGGTCACTGTACAGAAAATATAAAAACAAAGATATAAAATACAAAATAAAAGACAACAAACAATAAAAAGGGAGGGGGGACCGTGTGAAGCAGTTTAGAGAGAGTAAGCAAGTCTGAACAGATGAGTTTTGAGTTTAGATTTGAAGATGGGCAGGGTGGCAGAGTTACGGAGGTCAGGTGGCAGTGAGTTCCAGAGTTGGGGAGCAGAGCGGCTGAAAGCTCTGCTCCCCAAAGAGCTAAGGCAGGCAGAGGGTACAGTGAGATGGAGGGAGGAGGAAGATCTGAAGGCACGGGATGGAGTGACAACGTGCAGGAGGTCAGAGAGGTAAGGAGGGTGAGGTTATGGATAGACTTGTAGGTGTACAGAAGGATTTTGTAAGTGATTCTTTGATTAACCGGGAGCCAGTGGAGTTGCTGAAGGACAGGGGTGATGTGGTGGGAAGAGGGGGTTTTGGTGATGATCCGGGCAGCAGAGTTCTGAACCAGCTGAAGTTTATGGAGGGACTTTTGAGGGAGGCCAAAGAGGAGTGAATTACAATAGTCAAGGAGGGAGGTGACAAGGCTATGGACGAGGATAGCGGTGGTGTGGGGGGTGAGGGAGGGGCGGAGACGATTGATGGAGCGCAGGTGGAAATAAGCAGACCAGGTGATTCTATTAATGTGAGATTGAAAGGATAGTGTACTGTCGAGGATGACACCCAGACTCTTAACCCGAGGGGAGGGGGAGACTAAGGAGCTGTCGATGGAGAGAGAGAAGGTGTCAACTTTAGATAGGGTGGATTTGGTGCCAATGAGTAGGAATTCAGTTTTATTGCTGTTTAATTTAAGAAAGTTAGAGGTGAACCATGATTTTATTTCAGAAAGACAGGATGTGAGGGAGGGGGGTGGGAGTGTGGAGTTAGGTTTGCAAGAGAGGTAGAGCTGGGTGTCATCCGCGAAGCAGTGGAAATTAATGTTAAATTTGCGGAAGATAAGGCCGAGGGGGAGGAGGTAGGTTATGAAGAGGAGGGGCCCCAGGACAGAGCCCTGGGGCACACCTGTGGTGACTGGGGAAGGGTCAGAGGAGAAAGATTTAAGCTGTATAAACTAAGTGCGGTCTGTGAGATAAGAATGGAACCAGTGAAGGGGGGTGAGGATGATGCAAATTGAGGAGAGTCTGCTGAGGAGGATGGAGTGTGAGATGGTGTCAAAGGCCGCACTCAGGTCGAGGAGGATGAGAATGGAGAGTGAACCGGTGTCAGCTGCAGTGAGAAGATCATTGGTGATTTTGATAAGTGCAGTTTCAGTGCTGTGACGTGGACGGAAACCAGACTGGAAGGGTTCATACAGACTGTTTAGAGTGAAATGTGCGTGAAGTTATGTTATCTTCGTCCCCATCTTGACTGTAAGGAAAGCGAGAGGGACAATTCCACCGGAATCAGCTTTCCGTGGCCCGTTTTGTGATCCAGTTTTGTAATGTTTTGAGAAGAAATGAGTTTTGCTTTGATCACTGTTTCTTACGGTAGTTTATTCTTGGGGTCCTCGGGGAGGTCAGTTGGTAGTCCTTGTATGTTAAATATGCCGGTAGGATGAAGGTTAAACATGCATATCATATGTACAGAATAACAGCAACTGGACAGCAGTCTATCATAGAAAAGTCAAGCTCTGTTTACTAATGACGGTTATAATCCAGGAACCTCATGTAATTCTTGAGGTGTCTGTTTTATGAGAAACACATTTGCACAGGAGAATTAAATCACTAGTGACCAATACACAATTAGTGCTGCACCTGACTAAGAACTTTCCTCCTAGACCAATAGTCATCATTTAGTGCCGTTTGGCATCTTGTCGCCTGCATGTTTATGATATTAATTTAATTATTAAATGATATATTCTGGTGGTTTGAGTTGAAGGTGTGAGAAAGAATAGTATCAGTAACATTGTTAACACTGTGCTACATTACAGAGAAATACAAACCGTACTAATGAACCTTCATTAATATAGGCCTATATTTTATCTACAAGTGCACGTCACACACTGAGCGAGCCGCCTGTTAATGACGCTGTGGGCTAATGGGCATGTAGCTACTTCCATGATACAGATGATACGTCATGTTTGTAGTCGAACAATGAAGATGAGTTTACATATCACCTTGGGTTCGTCCTTCACCTTCTCAAAATGATCCCACACTTTGGATTTCCTGCCCAACATGTTATTAACTAGCCTGTGGAATAACCGCAGGTACCAGCCCTGGACATTAACCTGACTCCTGTCTGACTGCTGAGCGTGGACACTTCCTGTGTCTGTCCTTTCAAATTAAATTCCCACATGGTCCAGTCATATAGGTTTGAGTTATTTTGACAGGGTGCAGCCTTTTTTTTTTTTTTTCTTGTCGACTAATGACCTTTCTGGTCAACTAACATTTGGTCGACTACTGGGTGGTAACCCTGTACACAACTGCATAAGTTTCAGTTTTTGCCTTTTTAATTCTATGTGGGTAACTTTCCCCCTTTTCCTCATACACATAAACACATTATAAAGCTAAATTATTGCTGCAATGAGTAATATGATTCAGTGCAGGGGTATAATTATGTCTCTAGGAAAACATGGTTGGCAATTTTAACTTGGATTTCTACTTTAAAAAAGGTACATGTGGACATTTCCCTGTAATTACTAATACTCTTTATAATTACCACAAATCATAGAGCCCCCTCAGGTATTGGAACAGGGTTTTATATTGACTCAATTGACAAATATGCTGTGATTAGTTCTGTTCTTCCAAGGGAGGTCTGGTTATTGGTAATTAATACCTCCATACCCCTGGAATTAAATTACATTTGAAATGACTACCAGTTATTATCACTGGCTACGCTGTCGAGAGATACCTAATGTATTTATCTTTATTTGGTTTAAAGGCTCGGTGTGATTTTAATCCTTCATAAAAAATTAATAAATTTTTGAATATAGTATGTTGCTGTATATTATATTTCAAAGCTTACTCTGACATCCCTGTTTTTTCTAATACACCAAGATCTACAATCACTGATTTATGAAGACATCTATTCCACTTGCGGCCCACTCAGAATGGACCTGTGACCCACCAGTTGGGAACCACTAGTGTAAATGTTTTCAGATACAAGTCTGCAGTGAGTATGTATTTGTGTGTGTGTGTGTGTGTGTGTGTGTGTGTGTGTGTGTGTGTGTGTGTGAGTGTGACTTACCCTGGGACCTGTCTTTTCCATGTATCCTTCCTTCAGAAAGTTACGGGTAAGTTTGGGTACCAGCTGGAAACAGCAAGGTGAGCGTGTGAGAATACAAAGGGTTTCAGAGCTAAATGTCCATTTTGGAAAAAGTAGTGCGCAACATGTACAGAAAGTAATGAATACAGCAACAATGTTCTTACCATCTCAGTGTTAGTTTCTCACTAGCAGGCATAAAATCAGTGTAATTATCCTTTTAATACCAGAAATCGTTGTAAGTATTTTTCAAATACCTTAAGTTTTTGTGTGTGTTTTTTGTGCGTTCGTGTGTGCTCACCTCAGCATCTGTAGCCCCAGGAAAGGCCACCTTTAAATAGTGAAGCTGAACTGCACGAATCGTATTAAACCAGTCGACGATCTCCTAATGAAGACAGAGAGAGGTGAAGACAGGAGTGAGGAAACAGAGTTTTCCTGTAATGATTTGTTTTTCCCTCCATCGTTTATAAAGACAGGGAATACAGGGGTTTGTGTGAAGTGTCTGCAGGTAATACAGCTATGACAGAGCCAAACATGTTAACTTATCACAGTGAGAGGCGGTACATGTGCCTTTTAACTTGGTTTGCGAGCTGCAAATAAACACAGAGAAGTAGAGAAGAGAGCAAAACATGTCGCGGTGAGGACGTCTTTCACAGTTCCAGAGGAAGACGACAGGATTGTGCCGACTTTTTGATCTTTGACCTTCCAACAGGTTAGACACCGCACTGAAGGACTGTCTCCAGAGTGTTAGCACGAGCTAATTAGCAGCAGCGGCTTACATCCAACTCCAAGCTCTTAAAAGGCTTGACTCTGATCAAACTTATTATTAACCTAATAACACAGTTAGCAATTACTTGTATTGTTACCTGGCAACCCAGTCTGGAGCGTCTGGCTGCGTGTGTGTGTGAGAGACACAGCCGCTTGTTTTTCTGAGTTGAGTGTTGATGTGTGAGGTGACTCAATAGCTCATCGCTATTCTGCTTGGTAGTTGAAGGGTTATCTATCGTGGGACAGTGAGACGGCGCCATATAAGTCAGCTGTCACTGTTTGTCTCTGTTAGTAGAGACTTCACTCTGCAGTGTAGTTTTACACAGTAACACTGGGCTTCATCATCTCTCCTACCATTAACTATAAATTTAATACTTATTAAAAGTCATTTTACTTTCCTCCTTGTATTTATGATGTTCATCTGTAGCGTAGAGTTATTTGACAATACCCCAGAAAATCTCCCTCTTTTCCACAGCCTAATGTCGGCAGGTATGAAAGAGTCAGAACTGTTCTTTGTTTTTGTTGTGTTAACAACGGTGATGTCACATTGATTTGGTTAGGGTTAAAGCTATGGGTCGACAGATAATCGGCCCGGCCGATATTATGAATTTTTAAGGTTATCGGTATCAGTGATTTTTTCCACCGATATGCCGATATAAAGTTTTGTTTTCCTTAGCTGCACTATTTTGCCCCTGGTGTGCTTCTCACTGCCTGCACGTACCACTCTAGGCTCTTAAAAGCAAACTCAAGGCCTACCTTTTTAGCCTGGCTTTTAATTGAGCTCTCCATTATTTTATTTATTTATTTTTTATTGATTTTCATTTTGTTTTTTAAATTTTGTATTTATGATAATTGTGTATTTATTTATTGATTTTTATTAATCTGTTTTTATTTAGCTGACATATTCTTCAACTTCCTTACTTATTTATTTATTTTTAACTTATTTATTTTCCTATTTATTGAAAATGTCTTTCTTTATTCTGAGTTTTTATCCCGCCTCTGGTGTTTCCTTACTCATGATAGCGTTTCCTCAGTTACCATTTTTATGAGCGTTGTTATAATGGCCTGCTACTGTTTAGTCCTTACCTGTACAGTCCCTGAATTTATGTGTGTGTCTAAGTGTGTGTGTGTGTGTGTGTGTGTGTGTGTGTGTGTGTGTGTGAGTGGGTGGGTGGGTTTATGGCAGACATATATCGGTTGTAAATATTGGCTATCGGTATCTCTGTTTCATAATAATCAGTATCGGCATCTGCTCTGAAAAAGCCTTATCGGTCAGTCCCTGGTTAGAGCTATGGAATATTAAATCATCCATATTTTCTCACTACATCTCAGCCTTTCTTACCCTCAGGCGTACATAAACTACAGATTATACACTTTGCACAAATGTGAAATTATCGGTTATCGGCCATGAGAAACAGGTAATTATTGGTTGTCCGTATCGGTTGAAAAATCCCTATCAGTGCATCCCTAAAATAAATCTCATTGTGCATTGGTGTTATCAACACTTTTGGTGACATGGTTTCAGCCATAAAATTATTAAAAACAATCTCACTGTAATAATGATTTTGAATTCAGTCTCTTCATGTTTGCTCAGATCAGTACTGATTGTGATTTCTAAGTATTTTTTCCTGTTTATAGTTGCTAAAAGCAGCTTTTATGTGTTACCTATTTATGACCTTTGCTTCCACTGATTGCAAAGAAAATATGAGTTGGAGCATATCTGTCTAGATCACACGTCTTTCTATTGAAACCACCGTTTAACTACAGGGTGCTTTAAATTAGCGGCCAAAATATTGCTTAACACTGTGTTCTTGTTTAGTCTGCATGTAAATATAGTGTTTCTTTAATGTCTGTCAAAATGAAATATTAACGTGCAGCTTCAGAAAATCAGAAATGCATTCAGGATTTTGATGTTTTGCAGCGGACTCTCAAGTCTCTGATGCTAGACCGTCACAAATTACTTCTCGTCCTGACGCTGACACTTAATTATTCCATGTATTTCAATGTGTATTAATGAACGACACAGAATGACAGATGTGGGGCTTGAATGTCATCTGCTAATGGATTCCATCAGCCAGCAAAAATTGGTAAAGATGATTTGAAAAGGTTTGGAAACGCGCCCACAACAACACGAACCAGGTAGATTCAACACATGCCTGTCCCTCAGTGTGATGGATGACACACGTCCCCTGTGGTGGCCAAGTTAGGCTGCAATTTCAGTCAGTTAACAGTGAAGGGAAAAAACTTATAAGGAAAGTCTGTCATTATTTCACAGTCCTGCGCTTTACTAGAAACTGTAAATATTTTCTGTCTGTCTCTTCAGGTTCTGTCATATGCACTGATCACTGATCACACACACGCTGTACAGCGATACAGACCTTGCTGTTGTCATGGTAGACGAAGATGTTGCGGGTGCTGTAGTCTTTGAGGTAGGTGATCTGCAGGCCGTTGGGGTTTCCTATCTTCTCGGGCTGGAAGGTTGCGTTGATGGTGTCCACCTTGATTATTGCTTTGGGCTCCTTAGCCTGCAGGAGAAGAGGAGCCTAGTGTGTTTGTGTGTTAGGCTGCATTCAAACCAAATCAGAAACTGAAGAGAAAAGCCACAGGGTCGTGCGGCCGTGTCGGAGTGTCACTTAAATCTGTCATCTGTGGGTGACTGGAGGTAAGAAAAGAACTATAGAAAGCTAATCTCCTGATCTTATTGACTGGGTATTTGTCTTCGGTAGGCCTAAGTTTGTTTATGTTGGCCAAAAGATCTGTATAATTCCTGATGATTATCAGGACTGTATTATCTGTACCGTCACAAAACACACAATAGAGCGTACACACAAACAAAACAAGTGCACTCCTTTGTAGGGCTTAAGCTGCTAATACACACCTTGTAATTTATTTGACTCACTCTAATATTTAACAATAGAAAGAAAGTGTATTACTTGTTCCCGTGGACTCCCAGCAGCTTCTGGTCTGATGGCTGGTTTTATGAATGGTATGAGAATACATCTCTCCAAATCCTTATTTTGTTTCAAGCTTATACTGCAAGTCGCTGTGTTTTTTTTGGGGGGTATCCCTGTGGCCTCACTGCTGCAGACACACCTCCCACCTTCAACACCTGAATTGGAATGAACAGCCCTGCAAATGCATGGGTCAACAACATGGAGCCTACACACTGCAACTGCAGACGTGCCCTCTCTTCAGGGAATTTAGGATCAATCCAAGACTGGTCATTGTATATCGGGTGGTTCCAGGGTTTCAAAAAGTGCACGCACACTTTGTTAATATGAAATGACTCTTAATGACAAAGACAGCTGATTGTTGATTTTGTTCCATATAATGTTTATTTTTCTCACTAGGGATGCGCCATATCATCTCGTTCACCATAATACTGGTATCATTTTTGATATGATGTGATAAACTCATATGGTGATACTCACAATATTTTGACTTGTTGACATATTGACGTCATACTGTTACCCACGGCAACAACAAGCATGGCCGCAGGCAAATTATTGGCGACTCAGCAGTGGTTCCAAACAGAGGAGTGGCTTCAGTAGTGTGGAATAAACTGTGGCGTCCTGAATGTTTTATGAACAGCCCCGGACTTCTCAGACTCTTTTAGTGACTTACCGCTCAGAGGGAACTCATTCAGCGGCTCCTCTGGCAGCAGCACAGCGTCTCTCCCTCTCCTCTCTCGCCGTGCGCATACGGGAGTCGTGTCGTCAAATGATTTCGGTAATGTAAACCTATGTGATGCTTGCGGCTCGACAAAAAACTCCATATATGTTAATGTGTGATAGTTGTGGTATCATAACAGCCTGTCACAGGTTACAGTGTGATGATTAGAGGAGAAATGGCAGAGCTTAAAGGTCCAGGTGGAAAAAAAACAACTCAATCATTTGAGATTATACTAAAAGAAGGAAATCACCTGTTGATTTATACATATAGATCCCAGGGGACATTTTTGTATTTGGGAGCTGTTTAAATGTGTAATTTGTGGTAGATTTTATTTTGTTAAACTATTAATATTGTATACAGAATCTGAATCTTACTCTGAGTTACTGTTGTTGTTCACAAACTAAAGAAATGAGACCAACTTGTCATATCGTCACAAATACTGTTCTCGCCAAAATACCCTGAAATATCATGATATTATTTTAGTGCTATATTGCCCTATTACTCATCTGTTTTAACCTTTTTATTTTAAATATAGTTTTGTAAATTGTTTAAAAAGTCAATGAATGGATAAAAACAAAGAAACTATGCTGAAATGTAAAATAAAAAAATAATAAACCTTGTGGTTCTTTTTTTTTTTTTTGACCAGTCAGGATTATAAAAACAAAAACTAAACAAAACAAAAACTTCTGGATAAAAAAAAAACTTGTGTTACTGCTGTCAGTGCTTGACCAGAACAAAAAGTATTGTTATGGAGTCAAGGTGTGTGCAGGGTTTCAAGGCTTGAGGCCACATTTTGTGCTCTTCCTAACCATGAAAATAACATCTACAGCTATTATCTACACATCAGTCTGCATCACTGATAACAATCGTGTCTCAGACCGACACTAATCCCAGCCAAAACTGTTTGTGGAAGCTGTGCTTTATTCTGTCCTGACTTGAATTTAAATGGGACCAGAACCTGTGTCTGCGTATACCCTCTGCCCTTGACCTTAACAGAAAGCAGACGCCCCGTGCTTTTACACTGGAGATCTGACAAATGATTAGATTTTACACTTTTCTGTCACTGTGAGTATCGGCTCTCCCAGCATGACAAATATAGCAAGTGCAAGTGAGACTAATTTGTTTAGTAGCAAGAAGTCAGACTGTTGCTCGTCTGAAACCCGACCAGCTCAGTGGCTGAAAAAACCTGAAGCACCTTAGAGACACTTTCACTTTTATCACGCTGTGACTGTATGAGGATGTTTGTTTAGTTGTGTGCTGTAGAAGAGTCACCAAGAGAATATGAAGTGAAATATTTCACAGGAGGAGCAGTCCTGGAGAAGAGGGGGGAAAAACATAATAAAAAAATATCTGCATGTCAGGACATACTGTACGTGAACAAAAGGAGAGTGACAGTCTTTTTTCTCCATTTTTAAAATATATTATTCCCACTTCCCTTGAGCTGGTTTACTGTGACAAACAAAAAGCTCCCACTGCTTCCAGCCCTAATTGGTTTGGGTGGTGTACAGCTTAGTGAATCAGCCACACTGACAGAGGACAGACTGCTGGTTAAGCTTGTCTGAGCACGCTTAGACGCAGCAGAGGGAGCAGGTAGAGATACTTTTCGGAGGCTTTTGATAGGTATGTATGAGTGCCTTATAAGCTGTGTGTAAAAATACTGCAGCACATAAAGCGGGGGTGTTGTCTGCAGAACATCTGATTTGTTGAAAGGGCTCTCTAATTAAGATATTTGTGTTGTGGTCGCATATGTGTGTGTGGGTGTTGCACATGTGCTGAAAGAGAACTACTGCCTTCAAACGACACTAACTAGGACGTTGTCTAATTACAGTGGGTTACTGCTGTCTTGCGGTCATGGTTTTGTGTAGGTTAAGAGTGTGTTTAGCTGCATGTGGCCACTCAAAGTCTACTTAAAAGCTGCTGCTTACGTCATATTTGGTGAAATACTTCAAAGTCCCCTCCCTCTCTGAGAGGACAAAACGCCTGCTGAGGAACTGCCCATTGTCCCGCCCCCTCTTCATCAACAAGCCATCTTTAGTTCCTGCAGGAAATCAGCAAAGGTCATTCGTTAGCATGAGTGAATTTTTGTATGTGCATGCATATATGTGTGTGTTGTGTTGTACACAAACACTCACCTTCCTCATATATAAAGTTCTTCCCAGGCTCAGAGAACTCCTTCCTCTCATACTTTGCTCTAATCCACTGCTCCCTCAACGTCCTGAACACACACAAACAGATGTTATGTTAATAGAGGTAGCTTGTAAAACAAGTACCAGCTGAAAGCAGTCGTATATGCCTCTTGTGTACTTTGTGGTAGATAAAAGGAAGAGTAGATGGGTTACTTTGCTTTCATTTTCAAGGAGAAGAAGGAAATATACTTCATTAATCCCTGAGGAGAAATTCAATATTCCTTCTGTTGTCATATACACACACTATGCACAAACAGGACATATATGTGCATTGCCTGGGGGGTTGCCCAGGAGCATGGGCTGCCACCTCTCCAGCTACCAGTCCACACTCCATGTTTGGTCCGGGCGTGGACTTGAGCCAGTGACCTTCTGGTTCCCAACCCAAGTCCCTATGAACTGAGCTCCTGCCACCCCTTGCAATAAAAACTATAAAGCTTTTTAAACATTTTATAAGTTTAGAAACAACTGTTGTGTGAAACAATGGAACGTCAAACATACTCATTCAATGTACATATAGGCTGACAGACTGAACCTTGTGTTTACGGCTTTGCATTTTCTTGGTTATTGTCAAGTTAGCTAGCCTTGTTAGCCAGCCCAGTTGCTGAGCTAACAGCCAACAATGGGGATTTGAAGTTAGACAATTTTAAATTTCAAAACACAATTCAAAAATATGTATGTTTGGAAATATATTTGGTAATATGTGTACCACAAAATGCCTGAAAATATTCCTACTTTTCCGTAACATTTGCTATTGGCTGTTTAACTAGCTAGCTAGCAAAGCTAACAACACCACACCAGACAGCAATAAAAATACCTTTTAAGTATAAAGGTCTTACTTGGGCACTGTCTACACATACTACAGATATTTTTGAAAACTTAACACTTTGGCCTCTCGTCCACAAATGGAGTTTTAAAATAAAACAACTTTTAAGTAGCAGATTTTTTCAAAAATCTGGTTACTTTGTATCCGTGTGGACATGTAAAACAGATCATTTGGGAAACAGTAGCCATGTTTCCATCAGCCTGTTTAGATGCGCATCTAGAAGTATCGCATCGGAAAATTATGATGGAAATGGCAAAATTCGAATTAAAATCCCCTGATTCGCACAAACTAAAATACGCTCGCTTTAGCCGGGTTTTGGTTGATTCGAAAAAATGTTGATTCGCAAAATGGGGATGGAAACAGTTATGTTTGAATTAAGTCTGACGTAGCGCACCTCTCTCCATGGTGATATCCACACTCTGGAGCGGGAAGGCGGTAATGCATTTACAAGCTGGTTGGCAACCGCCAGAAAACGTAGAAGAAGAAGAATGCGAGACTTGTTTTGTTTCCAGTTCTGCAGAAAACTTTTTCACCAAAGTCCGTACATTAAATGGAAAAACTCAGGATTCGTATTTCTTTTAATGCGCATATCCCAATGATTCGAATCACCTTTGGATGGAAACATAGCTACTGATGTCATCTCCTTTATTCATGGATGCCCATCATTGCTTTGTATAATTAGCAGAATCAACAAAAATGGCAGACTGCCATTTTGTTTAAATTTTGTTTGCACTGCTTGGACTAATAATTACTTTGTACTTAAAGTCTCTATTGTTGCACCACATGGTGGACAAATGGAGCCATCTCTTCTGCTCTTTGGTCCCCCTTAGCTACAAGGTGTAAAGTCACCCAGAGGCAATGGTTTTGGATCAGGCCCAGTCGAATCAGCAGGACAATGTTGAGAGTGGGATTGTTGCTGATGAGAAGTTTAAGAAAAAGTGGCATGTCCAGAGCATCACTCGTACCTTTGAGCGAGATCCTTTAATCTTATATTGAAGCAGAATCAATGGTGATGATTGCTGCCTTGAAAAAGATGTTGTTAGCCTGAACACTTTCAGAGACTGCCAAAGACAAGCGTTCTGGTGTGGACAGAGATATTTTGTGAAATGAAGGTTGTGAAGAGGAAAATATGGGGGAAAATATCTGTCCTGGATAACCCGATACCTGACAGAAGCTCTAGAATGAAAGCTAACATATTAGAAACTAGTTTGTTTGAAACTCTACCCTTAAATGACAGAACACTTGGCTCAGAGTCAAAACACTGTGTAAAGAAATCTTTGTCTACAGTTCACTTGTCCTGTTTTGTGTTTGTTTGTGTGTGTGTGTGTGTGTGTGTGTGTGTGTGTGTGTATGACTCTGTGAAGACAGAGGCCAATAAAAATCTAATGGGTCAAGCTGAATCCAGCTGATTCAGCTGTGAGAGGTGAGTAAGAGGTGAAGTGTTTCCTCCCTCTCTCCTACCCGCCTTCCTCTGCACCACTCTTTATTATTAACGATCGAACAATGAACTACATGTGTGTATAAATGTGTGTGCGTGTGTGAGGAGAGAAGGGCGTGAAAATTTGAGATGCCCTCAGGCAAATTTTTACAGATGCTTCTACTGAACACACACACTACATTTTTCGGTTGAGCAAAGACATTGTCAGCCAGAGGGTTGGACTTGACTGTAGCAGCTTGTGTGTCATTTGGGTTTGCTCTTTTCATGAAAATTCCCTGCTTCACATACACAGAATTCCAAACATTCCTGACTGGGAAGTGCCCGGTGCAGCGACAGGAACACACATGACAAGACGGTCAAAGTGTGTCTACAGGTAATGTGGAGGTGACCCATAGACAGGTCTGCAGCAAAGACAGCTGACAAAATTGCTTCAGAAATGGTTTTCAAAATTGCGTCGGTTGGTTTTATTCTTCTCTTTCGTCAGAAGCAAAACACAAACTGCTTTTTATGATCACATAAAGTTGTTGCAAATTTAGAAGGATTATAAATCATAAGACATCAGTCTATAAATTGCACATGCTACGCTAAACCACTCTGTGAGATTAATGAAACTACCGCAGTAGCACATGTACAATACTATGGGCCTTTTCCACTGTCACTTTTGGCCGCGCCAAGTAAAGCCATGCTGCACCGATTTGTGTTTCCATTACCAGTTTAGACGCACCGCGCCACGCTGAGCTGCGCCAGAGATGGACCTTCTCATGCGGGATTTATACTTCTGTAAGGCTTAGGCTCTGAGTCGCCATGGAGCTTACACTGTACCCTTCGCCGTAGCCTGAAGTGCACCTCCTAATGGAGTTGATTTTATAACGTCATCTTTGTTAAATGTTGCTGTTGTCCCCAGCTTCTTATGAGCAGAGGAAAAGTCCGCTAGCCACTGGGATAATTTATACAATGTAAAATGCCATAAGCTTGTGCCATTTTTGTCCTCAGCTCTACTTCACTGCAGTTATAAGTGTATGTAATAAAGTAACCTATTCATTAAATCAGTGTGTATTGTTTGTGGATGATTGACAGCGACTCTGATAGCAGCTACAAGGGATGATGTGGCATACTAAATGAATATCTCAAAGAATCATGCCCTCACAAGCTGCAAACACGAATGCCGGTTCACACACCCAATGCCAAAAGGCTGACACTCAGGACTGAGTCATTTAGAAGTAATATTACAAAATCAGATCACGTTTTTTATTGTAAAATGTCATGATCACTTCATGAGTGGGCAGAGATCAGACGGAGCAGCAAGAAGGCATCATAGAAGAAACTATGAAACAGACGACGTTTAACAGACAATGCAAAACTTGTTAGAGCCCAGAAGAAAAAGTATAAGGGTAGAGAAACTGGCTGTTAATGAGAAATGGTTAGCGTTTGTGTTCAGGCTGAGAACAAGGCAATGTTCTCTGTCAAGAATACTTATTTCACAGCGGAGAGGAGTCTGAAACGTTTAAGATCCTCAAACTGAAGGTGATTAAAGACAGTGGGTGATCTGCCAACAAATTAAGGTTGGGCAGTGTCTATTGTCTACAATCATTTTCATATACCTTCTTTTATACTCTTTATATGCATGTATGTGGTTACTAATTACCAGGCTTGGGCGGTAATATGGTATTATCAGTTATTCATAAATCCTGACGGAATGATTTTTAATACAGTCAAACATACAGGTGCTTCTCTAGCTATTAAATTCATTGTATGTAGTGCACATCACACGCCACAAGAGGTTAGGTCTCTACTGGTGGAAAAGCCAGCTGATCTGACAGACACCGCGACTCCAGGTGGTGGGAGGTGGGGATAACGTGACCGGACTGTAAACAGCAGACAAGCAGCGACAGAGCAGTTCAAATCTAACTTGGTGAATTAAGGATTAACTGTCGCCTCAGGTCACCTTTGTTTTGGCCACAACATTGCACATGAACACACTGCAAAGACTTTAGCCAGCGGCCAACATATATGTTCGCACTTGCATACGAGGAAATAAATCTCCACACCAGCAGGCGGCAGTAGCCTGTAACTGTCATTCAAAAAGGGAAACCAGAAGACCATCTTGACAGAACATTAATGCTGCCTTCGTTTTGTACTTGGAGGTCGGAAGTCGGAAGTGGGACTGACGTCACCTCCAAGTTGACAACAGTTTTTGCATTGTAGTTAGAAGTCGGAAAAAAACATGGACGCCCACAATAAGGCCTTTGGTGCCCTTGCAATTTCGGAGTATAGACAGCTTCAAAATTATCATGCACTCCAACTGATGAACACCGCAGATGAGACTGACCTAATGTAAAACAAATAAGATAAAATTGCTATAAACAGTGCTTGAGCAGAGTGTTTACTCACTATGTATGTGACTGGCAGCCATCTTGAATTCGTAAATCGGGGTTGATGCGGTTGCTCCGAGTTTCTGAGTTGGAAATCCAATCTCAGGGTGAGTTCGAGTTTAAACTTCCGACTGGGAACTGGGATTTTCCAACCTCCGAGTACAAAACGAACGCACCATAACAACACAATCCCATGTTGAAGGAACAAAGCACATTTACCATGAGCCAGTGAACAATAACACAAACCATCAAGAAACATTTCTGCAGAAAAGCTTAATGGCTAAAGAGAAAAAATCTTATCTTGCATTACAAGTATATTTTGGTCTCACTCCCTCTTGACTTTAGCTCTTTGTTTACTCTCTTCACTTCCATTTCTCTTCCCTGCGCTGAACTGAACTACCAATCAGAGGGATTTAATTCACTGACAGGCTCCGCAGTTTCCAATGCCAACTACAAAAAAGGCAACTACCACCAATGAGGGCCACTGGTGCAGTAAACACCACAGCGACAAAGGCCACGGATGTTTACCAACGGCCCAACATTGACCGACAGCCAGAATCAGTGTCACAACAGGACTACAACAGCGATTCACCAAGATGATGATGCCCTGATAACAACATCCAGCAGTATAATCCCTATTATCAGTTTTACTGTCATGGTGCCGGTCTACTGGAGTCACGTCAGAGTCAGAATGCCAAAAATGTCTTGAATGGCAGAGTCAAGGCCCAGACTTGAATCCCATTTATAATCTTTGGAATGACTTTGAGGGAGCAACCTTTCCACAGACACACCCTCTACAACTTGACCAAGCTTGAGCAAATCAGTTTGGTGGAGAAGCGGAAAATCACACAATAGAGAAATATCCAAGAACATGTGAGTCGCTGCCAAAAGGTGCTCCAGTAGAGTGCTGTCAAAGGGGCCGAATATGTCTGTCTTTCACTCTGAAACATTTTAAAGGTAAGTACATGGGGAGCTGAATGGTTTCCAAAGGCATTGTGTGATTTCTAGCTGCTGTGAGAAGGACAGAGCTTTCAGCCCTGCAAGCTCAGAAACACAACCTTCAAAGGTAAATAAGAACATTACATTGTTAGAAAGTCAGCTTCCCTGTGAAACCATCATTTGATGAAGGGAACTTTTAAAATCTTATATTAATAAAGTTTTACTCAAATGTTAAAACAAAAATCAGTCAAGATCAGAACTGATGAGTAACATCAGGGCAAAGAAAAGTGTGTTACAGGATATGGAAGTGCTTCTCCCTCCTAGTTCACTCTTAAAGTTCCACTCCTGGTATTAACTGAACCCAAGCACTAAACTCGAGGGCTGAAAAAAAAAAAAAAAAAAGCCAACACAGAAGTGCAAAAAACTGCAGTTCCTCTAATGGCCACTTGAGGCTGGCTCCAGAAGCCAATAAGACCCCCATGTTAAAGTGCCCAACTTTGTTTAGAATGTGGTGCAAAAAACAGTTTGGGGTCTCTAGCTTATTTACCCGTTCATGACAACTGTACAGACACATTCGCTCTCAAACCTCATGACATATTGACTTTTGGTCATGGACTTTCCACGTCGAGATACGATGTGTAAGGTACCCTGGGTGTGTTGGTTGTTGACATTCTGGGACGCCGTATCAAGTTCTGCCTGTTACATGCATTGTCTTATTTCAAAATACACCTCCATTTTCACAGGAAATGCACCGTTTGAATACAGTCTCTTAATTTTTGTTTTTTTAAAGTACTACGTTGGTACAACACTGTGAATTGATGTTATTGTCCTTTGACGACAAACGCACATGGTTATGTTTAGCCAACACAGGCACGTGGTTGGGTTAAGGAGAAAGAACAGGATTTGGCTTTACAATCTTAAGCCCTATTCGGACGAGATTAGTTAAACGTGGAGACGTGGGGTAAAGTCATTATTACCAGGGATTTTAGTCCCGTCCAAACGTGCTATGTCTGTCACCATTACGGATAATGTCGGTAAAAATTACGGCGACTTTTACCTTCTGTAAAACGGTCCGGAGAAAATACCTCGGGTATATTAATTGCATGCGAACGCGATCCTCTGTAAAAATGTAAATATTTCATCATGTCCTGTTTACAACCATTTTTACGCATTTACAACTAGCTTTCCGCGTTTTTTCGATGATGGAGGCACTTGAAGAAGCATTCGGTGTTGTCGGCAATCGTGATAGTGGACATTCTTCTAATGATGGCATAGCCCTACGTGGGAGACCAATCAAAAAGGTCGAGAAGAAAGCACTTTTTAGAGCCACGAGACTTCTGGTTGTGTTAGGTAGGCCTAATATAAATTCATATTGCTAATCGTGTACACACAATCCTGATCATGGGCAATATTTCATATTGGGCTAATCATTAACTATTATTATCCTTCATGGGATGCTTACAGGAAACAACGTAGCACGCACATGCCATCAGGGAGGTGACACCAGGGCGCAAACCGAGTTACCACTCCCATCTCTGGTAGAATTACGGAGATTTCTTGTCCCGTGCGAATCGGACATTTATAATACAGACATCCTGTAGTAAACTGACATTAGTCCACATCCCTATATAAAACTAATCCCGTCCGAATAGTACTTTACTGGAGGCAATCACCTGGCTGATACCGGTGAAAGTGGGTGGTCGTTCAACCAATCAACCAGATACTCGAACTTCCGCCTCCCTAACTTTCTTACTGTCCCACCACCGGGTGCCATAAAACAATAACGCCGACTGGCCAAGTATCATGCCGACATGAATGGACAGCTTACTCACTGCCCAAGCACCGAATTTTGACAACTTCGGAGTGAGACCGGGTCAGTACAGAAGGGGTTGAATTTTTATATAACTCACCAATTTAAATGTCATTATGGCCTAAAGTTACACATAATTAAGGGCGTGGCCACTTTGAGTCACAAGCTGTCTGCGTGATGCCATCACAGTCTATGAGTCAGATCCACCCCTCCTTCCTCCCCAGCTCCACCCTCTTGTCAAAATATGCTCACTTCTAGCTGCAAAAATCCAAGATTGCGACAGCAAAAATGCCAAACTCATTGCTTAACAACAGCCACCCACAAACTGGTGGGTGACGTCATAGTAGCTATGCCAATTATTTTTATACACTTTATGACTAAACCCATCTGCAGCCCGAGTGTAACCTGCTCACCTTTGATTCTGCTCATCAAACACACAAACCTCTGCTTATAATAGGCATAGATAACCAGAGCCTTTGGATTGACTACATTATCAAACACCTGATGGCTAATGTTCGATAACATTGTACAAGCTCTGACAAGTTGAAGTGAAACAGAAAACTAGCTTGTAAAATACCAATATGTAGCCACACCTGGCGTTTCCTCTGACACCTCACAATTTGATGAGATTGGGTCCTCCATTTTGTGATGTCACAAACCCTGGAAGTCTGAACCCGATTTTTTGACATTGTCATTGGTACACTAGTTCCAAAGCAGAAATGCTCAGCCACAGCACTGACCGCTTACTTTGCTCATGATATGTCTTGTATGAACACAATATGAACATGTTAACAAAACTTGATTTTCATTGAAGGGGGTCTTTAAGTGTAACTCATTGTCAGTATATTTCTGTATGCAAACACACTCTGTTGACAATATAGCATAAAATAAAATTAAATTAAAAACTATGTTTAAAAAGAACATTTAAAAATTGTACATTTATAGCAGTTATGTTTTATGTGTGTGTATTGCTGAGGTTACTCACTGGCAGTCTTTGTGGGTTGGCTTGTAGTAGTAGACGGGAACAGCAGCCTCATATTTACTCTTCATCAGCTCATTACCATTCTCAGCCATGAACTAATAAAACACACAAACACACATGGCATAAAACAGATTATTCAAGGGCGAATGACACCTTGAAACACTGCCAGCCAGTTTCACAGTTAGAAGACTGAACTCAACAGGAATACAGTCTTAAAAATGTTACAATAAACACATAAATCAGGGAGCTGACATGATAAATGTGACAAATGTTTTTCAGATAAAGATGTGCAAAGTACCAACATCATTTATTATCTGGTGCCGGTTTCAGGAACACTGGGAAATGTTCTGGGCAAGAATGCGATGTCCTGATGTGCCTGTGATTTATTTCCCCATAAAAACTCCAAAATAAAAAAAATAAAAACTTTTTTCCTTTCATGATGGTTGCATTTTAAGTGGTACTTTTTGTAGTATTCTGTCAATAGTGTACTTTTCTATAATCAGCACTGTAGTATGATCAGTCATCCATCATTAGACCTGAAATACCATGTACTGTAATCACTTTTATGACGCAGGACTTATGATGTGATACAGTATCTAAAAACTTTGGAAAACATTTAACTTTAATACTAACCTGAACAAAAGAGTGGTATTGATCTTCTCATCTAACTCAGCGAGAAAGTCAATAAGCTTATTTTGAAAAATGTCAAACTATTTCTTTAAAGAGAATACAATATCATACAGGTCTTCCCTGAGCGTACACTGTGAGGTTTGTAAGGGCAAAAAAACCTGTTTAGAATCGTTCAGCATTGGACAGCTGTTATTGTTCCTGTGTTTAAGGGTCATTTAAGCCATATTTTTCATTCTGTTGGAAGACAGAAGAGGCTGACAGCACATTTCTCTTCTTAATGCCAGAGGAGAACAGATATTACAGACACACCGAGCCTGACATATTTTTAGTCAGTGGAGTGTCCTTAAATCTAAAAAGTCACCATTTAGGGGAAGCTCATAAAATATTATTTAAGGAAGGCAAGAAGTGGGGTGTCACAACATCTCAGAGCCTAGCTGGTGATAGAAGTGCTGAGGAAGTATTTATTCCAGCCAAATATTATTCACTGAGAAGCAAAACTAGACTTATTATGTAACCATGGTACAGGACAACAAAAACCAGACTGGAAATAAGTAACAAAGCAGCAAACACGATTTTTGCCACTGTGATCATATGTTACAAGTTGGGCTGAACCGACTGTTTAGCTGTTTTATTATTTGCCTTCACCCACTTGGTCATTATATCCACATTACTGATGATTATTTTTCAAAAATCTCATTGTGTAAACAATTTGTGAAAGCATCAACAGTCAACCCCCAATATTATCGCAATATCAATGTTGAGGTATTCAGTCAAATATATCATGATATTTGATTTTCTCCATATTGCTCAGCCTAATAACAAGTCAGTATACAGAAGTTTTGTAAATTTTGAGGTACACATTAATACTTTAGAGGGTGGCAGCTGGATGTTAACAAAACAAACTGTTATTCACCCATCCAGCCATCCACTTTCATCAGCTTATCCGGGGCTAAGTCACGGGGGGCAGCAGGCCAGGCAAAGCATCCCAGGCGTCCCTCTGCCCAGCAATACTTTCCAGCTCCTCCTGGGGGACCCCAAGGCATTTCCAGGCCAGACAAGATATGTAATCCCTCCAGCTGGTCCTGGGTCTGCCCCAGGGCCTCCTACCAGTGGGACATGCCGGGAACACCTCTAATGGGAGGTGCCCAGGAGGCATCCTGATCAGATGCCTGAACCACCTCAACTGACCCCTTTCGACGTGAAGGAGCAGCAGCTCTACTTCGACCTCCCTCTGGATCTCCGAGCTCCTCACCCTATCTCTAAGGCTGAGCCCAGACACCTCATAGAGGAAACTCATTTCTGTCGCTTGTATCCACAATCTCATTCTTTTGGTCAATACCCAGAGCTCATGACCATAGGTGAGTGTTGGGACGTAGATGGACCAGTGAATCAAAGACTTCGCCTTCCAGCTCAGCTCCCTCTTCACCATGACTGTCGGACGCAACACCCGCATCACTGCAGATGCCGTACCATCTCATGCTCCACTCTACCCTCACTTGTGAACAGGACCCGAGATACTTGAACTCCCTTGCTTGAGGCAGTAACTCTCCCAATGCGGAGGGGGCAATCCATCGGAGAACTACTCAGATCTGGAGGTGATGACTGTCATCCCGACTGCTTCACACTCGGCTGCAAACTACCCCAGAATATGCTGGAGGTCACGGTGTGATGAAGCCAACAGAACCACATCATCTGCATAAAGCAGAGATGCAATTCTGAGATCCCCAAACCAGACCCCATCCACCCCCTGGCTGCGCCGTGAGATCCTGTCCATAACTATCACTGACAGGATCTGTGAGAACGGACAACCCTGGCAGAGGCCAACACCTACCCGAGAACGTGTTTGACTTTACGCCGAGTATGTCTCTCACTTTGGTCATGCAGGGACCAGATGGCTTGTAGCAGCAACCCTGGTACCCCGTAATCCGTCACCCAACCAGCTTTTTCAAATAACTGCCACAGTTCCATACAGTGAGAGCAACCCCTCCAACACATTGAAAAGATGCAATTCAAGAAGAACAACAAAGGTCTCAGTCACTATTATTCGGTCCATTTTGGTCCAAATTAGGGATCTATCTGGGCTTAATTATGGGTGGTTGGGGAATAGGAAATGCTATCTTTGGATCTCAGCTGCTTGATATTCATGAAAAAAAACCATACTGAAATAGATCATTGTTAAAATATATAGCACTGAGGAGAGGATGCTGCTGGCTCTGTGGTCTCACCTTCACCTCGTGGTCCTCCCAGTGTGAAAGGCTCAGGGACTTGACCTTGCTGATATCGGGGATATTGCGGTGAATCCCAGAACAGGCCAGGCAGATGAACACACCCAAGGAGCAGGAGCCCCAGCTGGGATCTGCAAAGAACAAGATGGACAGAGAACAAATGGGATGAATGGGAGAAATGGACAAGAAGGGAGATTATGAAGTGGGCATGGAGGGGCCAGAACAATGACATGGATTAAAACATGGATGGGCTAAGAGAGAGGAATCCTTATCCTTATCCAATATAAAGTCTAGGGAGTCAAGACATAACCTACATGTTTTGTGTGACTCGGATTTAAGGCTGTAACTAAAACTTGTTTATTTATTGATTGATTCTATAGATGACAGTCTTTTTTTTGATAAATGAATTCATCTCTTAGCCAAATAAAATAATGACAAAATTACCATCACAAGTCCTGAGACACCAAGGTGTAGTCAGATGAAATGACTACATTTTATTAAATATAAGATTTATTTGGCTTCAGGAAAACAAGCAGTGGCATTCCATCTCACAGCAAAGGCTACTTGCTATCTTCTCTGTTAACCAATTTTCCAGGTGAAACCCTGAGGTGACGACTTCAGTTTATTAGTTATGTCCAACCAAAACCAAAAGTCCATAAAAATGACAAAGAAACAAACCCCTAACATTAGCAGACCATTAACAACCAACAGTGGGAAGGCCGTCCATCACAGCACACAGTTAATATACTGTGAAAAATACTCACTCACACGTCATCAGTATCGGACGATATTGGATTTAAAATTAAATATCGGAATCGGTCAACATGCTAATAATATTGATACATCATCGGTATCAGCCAATAACCACTTTAAAATGAACTACCAGAATTGGCCAACATGCTTTTTCTTAATTTTGCACAATGAATGAATATCACATATATTTAAAAGTACTGTATTTCATGTCTCCATCTGCTGGTGGGCCATCACCATAACAGGGACTTGGGTTGGGAACTTGAGGGTCGCCAGTTCAAGCCCCTTTCCAGACCAAAATATGGAGCATGGACTGGTAGCTGGAGAGGCGCCAGTTTGCCTCCCAGGCACTGACCCCTCGCTCTGACATCTCTCCATTTAATGTATGTATAGGTCCTGTTGTGCATGTGCGTGTGCAGCCTGTTGCAGTCGCTCCTGCTTGTCTGATTCTGATTCTGATTCTGATGTGTGTGTGTGTTACAGTATGCGTCTGGGTGTATATGACAACAGAGTGGAATTTCCCCACTGGGATTAATAAAGTATATCTTCTTCTTTTTCTAATATGATGTTAATTCTGCTACAGTAGAGACTTTATGATCACTAAAATTAGGTGGGGATATCCGTCAAATAGGTTGTTATGAATCGGCATATTGGATATCGGATATCCAACATTGTGTATCCCTAAAAAATACACATTCCTTGTTCAAAAATTGAATTTTAAAGTTCCCATATGTACTTTTCAAGCTGCACTGAGCCTCACATCAGATAAGTATTTGGACTGTAGTGTTTGCCTCTTCAGGAAGAGTTTGGGGTTCTGTGCTTTGCTTATGGGCAACTCAGTTGTATAAACTTTATGTTCATGAGCAGATTACTGCTACGACAATAAATTCTTCTTGAGCACTGATATACCAGAAATGTTTTCCTTGCTTTGACCACACCTGTCTTATCTTCCTGACACGCATTCTACAGCTTGCCAGTAAACAGAGCATCGGTATGTGTGTGTGTGTGTGTGTGTGTGTGTGTGTGTGTGTCAGAAAGAGAGAGAGAGACGTACCTTATCACCAGAGATCACAGATGTCTGAGTACAGAGAACAGAACATTCTTTAATTTTCCAATCATTTACTGCAGATTAGAAATGCTACATGCTTGGCTGGTTAATACTTATGCCTTATTTTTTTGCTACATCACCATTTGACAACACCGGGGAGAAAGCTGAATAAAAACGAACAAGTCCATACATGCCCGTCTCTGAACATGAGGAACAGAGGAAATGACAGGAATATGTGCCACGATGTGACCAGAGGGGTTAAATCTTAGCACTTGGCAGAGAAAGCTGTTGTTGAGCAAGTCACATAACCTGGGAAGTCGAGCTCCTCAATAGACACAAGTATCAGAAGATGTGCAGCCAGTCAGCCTTACTTAGATAAGTCAGATATAAAAGATGGAGAGATAACTCCCGGCAGTGATATTATTTTTATTTTGTTGCAGTGCTTCACTCCAGCAACACGGTGCCTCAGGGCCCAGATTCAATGGAATTGAACCAGAATTTGACTTTTTGCTGTCTGTTAGGCCTATCAACAGCATGTTATGTTTGCAGTTACTACAAAACTGAGATAAAATTTTCCCAAAGCCCAACTGCAGTCAAGAGAGGTAGTCTATACGGCTAAAGCTACAGAGCCATATCAAGTAAGGGTTAGCTGGTGAGCAACTGTTAGCTTTTAGCTAAATTTAGGCTACCCATTGTGATTGACTGATATCCTCTATTTGTTCATTTCATTCATTATCCATGACCGTTTATCGAATTCAGGGTCAAAGGGGGGCTGGAGCCTATCCTGGCTGACACTGGGCAAGAGGCAGGCTACACCTTGGACAAGTCACCAGACTGTCACAGGGCTGACACATAAGCTCTTTTTAGACAGATCTCCCCAGTTGCTCATCTTTACAGTGTCTGTCAGGTTTGTGTTTCCCTCTTGCTACTAGCTGCTCGCTAATTCCTGCTATCAGCTGTTTCCTGTTTATCCACCGCCAGTGACTCACACGTGAGGCATCATCAACAGCTCCTCCCACAAGTCATCAACAGCCCCTTCCGTTGCGGAAGGCTGCCTCAGTCTGTTTAAACTAAAAGGGTTCTGCCAATATGTCTACCCTACGAGGTGGAAAATTGGGCACCTCGGATCAACTCGCAATTCCGCCTCTGTGTGTCTAAACGCTCGCAGCTTGCCGGCAAAACGGCCCAACATTCGCCAAAAATCTGGCAGTGTAAAAGGGGCTGTAGAGACAGACAACCATTCACACTCACATTCACACCTACGGACAATTTAAAGTCACTAATTAAGATAACCTGCATGTCTGACTGTGGGAGGAAGCTGGAGCACCCAGGGAAAACCCCACGCTAAAACAGGGGGCTGGCGGGTTCAGAACCCAGCACCCTCTTGACCTGAATCCCTGTTGAACCCTCTCACTGTGAGGCGCCAGTGCTAACTAGGGGTGGGATAAAGTCAATACACTATAGTATCACAATATTTTTCTGTGGCAATACTGTATTGTCACACAATGCCAAGTATTTCATTATGCAAATTATTAATATTATTTAAATTTACTTAGAATTATATATACGCAGTTGCTTTTTCAGTCCACTACATATATTTTGCTGCAAAAAAAAAATGGCTGAAGTGAGATGAGGAGACTGAAAACTTTCTTATTAGATAATGCAGATGTTGACAAAGTTTTCCTTTGGGGACATCATTTACAATTGAAAACAGGTAATAAATTGCAATGTATTTTATCACAATATTCACCATATTGCAAAATTTTTAATTTTTTTTATTAGAGGGCTTAAAGGCGTACGACGTCCCTCTGTCCTTGGACCCTCACAGCAGGTAATGGAAAAACTCCCTATGTTTTTCATTGTTGTTTTTTTATGCACTCTAGCATGTTATAAATAAAAAATACAAAAACAGTTCCAAGCGTGAATAATTAATGGTTAATTAGAAGATAGTTGAGGGGCCACCCAGCACCCTACCTGGGACCAGATTCAGCCCTACAAGGTGAGTGTCACTGCTTTAAACCCTTTTAAGTCAAATTCTCTTCTTCAGTAACCTGCTCTGTCTTTGTGGGGCAGTAAACTTACTCTTATGTGAAATGTCTAACTGAGCATACAGGACCTCCTTGGGTGGGTTAAAAGCACTGGGTGAGGGTGTGTACAAGCCTTTCACCCTGCATGTAGAGACTTGAACTGTGAGAGCTTCTTCTCTTGCAGCTTCCACCTCAGAGAAAGGCTTCACCTGCGCTGTTAGCCCAAGTACTCTCTGGGGAAGCTCTTCCTCTCAGCTCCTGACTCACCTTGCCACACATTTAAGGTCAGATAACAAAGTGCACACAAGGAGCGTCTGGCACTTACAGTGTTATGGCCAAATCAGCAGTGAAGTACTTTTGGCTGCAATGGTTGAACAGTAAAAATGTTTTGAGGGATATCTTGTGTTGGCACAGGTGAATGATCCGCACCGCCACCGCGTGCACGTCACATCTCAGCGATCCAAGATACGCTACAAAGTTTGACTTCCCTGTTCACTACATTTTACAGCTATTTAGGATAGGTAAGTCTTACCGGGTGCGCCACAGTCTGCGCAAGCGTCATTTCCAGGATTTTGCAGGATCTCCCTCAGTGCTCGCGTTGATCTGTCATTTGCCGACATTTCAGTTTTCAGATTCCTCCGCTTTCAGAGAGAGAGAGGGACAGACAGACAGAGAGGGTGGGGGAGGGGGTGGGGGGTAAGGTGTGTCTCCTCGGCCTTAACTCCCCCACTGGAGTCCCTCCTAACGGGCTGTGGGCAAGTCCGCACAGGTACGCGCCCTCAGCAGAGGCGAGGTGTTTCCCTCCGATTACAGACGAATGAAATCAAGGCCTCTTCATAAAGTTTGCACGGAAACGTCCATTCTCTCTTGTCCTTTGCTGCGGGGCCCCTAAAAGCCAGTGCTGACACCTTTCAGGTGGCCTGAAACACGCGTCCTGACAAAAGTCTGGAGGCAAATCGCAGCGACAAGCCCGCCTGTGCGCAGAGGAGGTGTGTGTGGCCGGGAATGAAACCCTACACTAGGAAGTGAAATGCAGAGGTTGTTCAAACTTGCTTTTCCGCATAATTCGAGGTTAGATCACAGAGTGTTTTACTCCGGCGCCCAGTTTTTTTCCAGGTTTCCTCAAAGTTTATGAGTTAATAGGCCTACAAGATTAAAACTCATGTTTTCAGGCTATAAATATGAAGGAATGTGGTTGACTGTAAAGTTTAAAGGTTGCAAATGCACATTTAAGCCACATTTCAACATCTTATGAGTCAGTCTATCCTCCTGAGACTTTTGTTTGGTATTCATTTTTCATTTCTCCTGTCTGTTTGGGATCAGTAGGACCCATAATAAGTATAAAAATTAAGTCCCAGTGTCCTCAAATGAGACAAACAATAAAGTCCTTATGTCTTCAAAGGAGTACTTCCTAATTAACAGTATTTTAGCTTGTTACTGTTGCTAAAATTGGTCAAATTTGTTGCCATATCAAACAAGTTTCAAGCATAAAATTTGATCAGGTTTTGTCCACTTTTGTGTCAGGATCAGCTGCAAACTGACTTGGCAGAGATGGCTGCCATCTTGTTTTTACATGGATTAGTGTATTGTGCTCTTACCACAAGAAGAAGGCACAAAAAAGTGTCCACGAAGTTAAGTAGAATAAAGTTTAATCAGTCAATCAAACTTTATTTGTGTAGCACTTTTCATACATCGTAATGTAACACAAAGCGCTTCACATACTCAGAACAAAAAAAAGCATTAAGCATTGTAAGTTATTAAAAATAGGAACTCAAGGAACGCCATCATAACTCTGAAAATCTGCAATGAGGTTAACACCAGAGGTAAAATTAAGATTTAAAAATACATAAAAGAATAGAGTAAAAATATAAAAATATATTAAAGGAAAGAGTACTATAGAATAAAGTGAGTAAAAGAGTAAAAGTAATGAAGTAAAACAGACAAAAAAGGCACGGTTACAAAGAGGAAACAATAAAATAGAACAAACAGAAGAGTAGTAGGACAGGCTAAGATAGAAAATAAAAGGCAGATTGATAAATAAGTAAAATTCAATTGAAAGCCAAATTAAAAAGGTTTAAGTTTGCTTTTAAAAATATCAACACTCTCTGCTGCCCTCAGGTTCTCAGGAAGGCTGTTCCATAATAAGTTTAAGATCAAGTAAACCCAAAATGTGACATCCTCATATGAGGACACAGGTCTCAGGAGGCTAATGTAGTGTAGGTGTAAATGTACCACCCATGGTACTGAGGCGTGAGGTGGGGATGGTGAGGAGTCCAGCAGAGGTTGGGCGGAGGGTGCGGGAGGGTGTATTCCTAAAGGAGGTCACAGAGGTTGTGGAGAGCTTTGTAGGTGAGGAGAAGGGTTTTGTAGTGGATACGGTATTGTACAGGGAGCCAGTGAAGTTGGATGAGAACAGGGGTGATGTGGTCAGATGATTTGGTGCAGGTGGTGATCCAGGCGGCCAAGTTCTGAATGATTTGCAGAGGTGGAAGAATGCAGTCCAGGTGATGTTTTTAATATGAGGTGCAAATGAGAGGGTGCTGTCCAGAATGACGCCGAGGCTCTTGACTTGGGAGGAGAAGGGCACAGGGAATCCATCGATGATGATGATGGGTGGAGCTGGGGTGTGTTGTGACTTGGTGAGGGTGGATTTGGAGCCGATGAGCAGGGCCTCGGTTTTATTGGCGTTTAGCTTCGATGTTGTATTTGTTGCATTTTGAATGTGTTTTGATTGGCTGCTTCCTCGGCCAGGTCTCTCTTGTAAAAGAGATTTTCGATCTCAGTGGGACTTCCGGGTTAAAAGAAGGTTAAATAAATGAAAATAAAATCCTCTGCTCAACACATTGTTGTAAGGCCCGCTCCCAGTGCTGGCACCACTGGCTGGTGGTCACAGCACCCATCACAGCACCCAGATACCAGCATCTTAAGGACATCCCTTACTTGAGTCGATGTCCACATACTTTTGTCTTTGCATGTGGTGTATGTTTTTTTGTTGTTGTTGCGAACAATATTTCCCTCTCAAATGTAGACTAAAGGTCTGAAATTAGATTAAACGTTACAGCTCATATGAGGGTAGATTTGCCTCTGCATCCCTCACACTCAGCTGCCAGTTGTAGCTCCATGTTTGGTCAGTAGGTGGCAACAGCTCACCACTTTTCTGCCTGCCATGAATATAGTGGTTTAGTTCTGTTTGGTACAGGTGTGGCTGTCAGTGCTGTTTGTAGCCTACATATACAGTGTCTGTCCTTTAATCAAATATCCCTCCCCTCTCATTAGCACCATGAAAAGTATAAGATACACAGGCTGGTGGGAAGAAGGAGCACTTCCGCCTGATATCGCTGATACTAATAATAATCAGCAGCTCAACAGTCTTGCATAATGGCGTGTGTTGCATAATGGCATCAGTCAAGTGATTTTTACATACACAAATGAATAAAGGACACAAGCAAACTTTTTGGGCCCTATTTAAACTAGATATAGTGTGTGATCTGAAGTGCACCTGGCCATAAAGTAAGGGTGCTTTCACACCTGCCCTGTTTGGGTTGGTTCAATTGAACTCAAGTTCGTTTGCCCCCTAAGTGCAGTTTGTTTGGGCAGGTGTGAACACAGCAATCACACTCAGGTGTGCAGCGAAACAACCGGACCGAGACCACCTCTTTAAGAAGGTCTCGGTCCAGTTGTTTCGGTTACAAACAAACTCTGGTGCGGTTCTTTTGTGGTAAGAACGTGTTCCAACTGCAGTCACATGACACATTGTTTGGGTTAAACATGAGCATGTTACAGTCCTGGAGGATTATTAATGTGCACCTCCTCCTGTACTGCCTTAATATGCACATTCAGCACATCCAGTGCAATCAATCAATCAATCAATTTTCTTTATAAAGCCCAATATCACAAATCACAGTTTGCGTCACAGGGCTTTACAGCATACGACATCCCTCTGTCCTTATGACCCTCACAGCGGATAAGGAAAAACTCCCCAAAAAACCCCTTTAACAGGGAAAAAATGGTAGAAACCTCAGGAAGAGCAACTGAGGAGGGATCCCTCTTCCAGGACGGACAGACGTGCAATAGATGTCGTACAGAACAGATCAGCATAATAAATTAACAGTAATCCATATGACACAATGAGACAGAAAGAGAGAGAGAGAGAGAGGGAGAGAGAGATGCAGGACAGACGGTAATGTTAATAGCTTACAACAACATTAATGAAAGTAATAATATTATAATTATAGTTCTGGCTACTGTGGTACAATATGTTGACAGTATATATTAATATCTGGCAGTATACATGTGTGACAATAATCATATGTGTATAATAACAGTAGAAGTATGACTAATGATAACAGCAGCAGCAGGAGGCATCTGGCAGGACCACGGCAGCAGCACAACCACACACATCACACTATCCAGGCACCACTGTGATACAAGTTGACCTGCGAGACAGTGGAGCACAAAGGCTGCAGAGAAGAAGCCGAGTTAGCAAGATGCAGTAACAGGACATGAGAGAGAGAGAGAGAGAAGGAGAGAAGGAGAGAAGGTGCTCGGTGTATTGTAGGAGGTCCTCTGGCAGACTAGGCCTAAGTCAGCCTGAGCCAGCCCTAACTATAAGCTTTATCAAAGAGGAAAGAGGAAATGCATCAAAACATTGTTTTCTAGTTGGAGCCGCACCTTGTTTTCAAACTGTATGGTTTGACTAAAATGAACAATGACAGCAATATAGTCCACGATGAGCAGCGCTAAAATCAGGCTGCGTAGTTGTCCCTCCATTGTGACATTAGAAAGTGTCCCACATGGAAATTCTGACTAATCAATAGCAGATTTCTCGCGGAAGGCATTTTATCTGGTCCCAGAACACAAACCAACTCTAGGCAATACAGCTTTGCAACAAAATTAGTTCCTGATTCAGACCAAAGCAAGACAACTCTAGGTCTGAAAGCACAAGGGGCAAAGTTGTTGTATTTAGCCCCTAATTAATCATAAGTGGGTGTTGGGCGTAACATAAATTCAAACATCAGAGTGTCATCTCCCATTCCCTTCAAAAGCCAGGTGTGCCGACACCTTGTCGACAGAACTAAACCTTTAGCTTCTGAAATAATCAATGAAGTTACGCTGCTCTGTGTACACGAATGCATCTCTCTTACAGCCAGGCCATACTGCCTGCATGAGCAGACAGTGTGCATCGCAGAATCTCTTGCGTTTTATTTTGCCCCTTTGTGAACAGATTAGAGCAGCGCTGCTCAGGCACTACTCGGCTGCTGCTCAACTGTGAAACATCTAGAGAATAGGAGTCTTGCTTTTTTTTTCAGTGACACACAGTTTTCAGCAAAACTAGACAGGTTTTTTTTTGATAACTGTATTACAACTGGAAATACAGTAGTTTTAGAAGCAGGCAACGCTGCTGAAATGCTGTAGCAGCAGCACTGTCTGTGTGAACACAGCATGTACGTGAGCTGCGGCTGTTCAGCGTGGTCGCTGTCATGCGCTGCTCACACAGGCAGCGTGGGTGTTAATGGGGAGTCGGACAGCCGCTTGGTTGCTCTGCTCTGCTCTGTTCACACTTAAGAGAATGTAAAATATTTTCGTCATTATTGATGCATATATCACCACTCGTAACCTATCCATGCATTCCTGTGTGTTTAACAAGCAGAGTGGACCCTCCAATGTAGGCACATCTTACTATGAATAATGTGTTCTTTAAATAGCAGGAAAATACTCCGCTATTTTGACTTTAGACCGGGTTTTTGTTGGTCAGTGGTCACTTTCTGCTACCTTAGAATAGCAGTGTGCCAACAGTGCACTTGACTACAACTCATTTTAAGACCTACACACCCATGGGCACACACTAGTGACACAACAACATAGCCCTTTTTACACAGAGATCGCAAGATAGGGCTGCTATAAAGTCCCTTCTTTATGCTGTCATTGCTTTTTTACACAGTACCAAACAACAGCAGCATCAAGCAGCCGACTGCGTGATTTTAGACAGCAT